GTTCAGCCTGCTGCTTGAGGCCCTCGGTGAGCGTCTTGGCAAACTCCTCCAGCTCTTCTTCCCGTTCGGAAAACACCGGATCTGGGTACACGTGGTTCATGAGAAGGGCCATTGTCACACCTACGGAAGGTGCCTTGGGTTCATAGCAGTGCATCAGCACGTCATAGACATCTCGGAGGAGGGCATCGTGAAGAGCGTTGAGTATTTGCTGGTACACGGTGAAGTCCACCAACGTCCACCGGCTTGGATCGATCTCTGGCAGGGGAGAGGTGAACAGTTGGATATACGGTAGCTTCTTGGGCTCCGGGGGTGGGTCCTTGACAAAGTCAAAGCAGACATCGAGCTCGTCACCTCGGAGTTCTTGGTCCAGAAATTTGCGCACAGAGACCTCGAGAAAGGTGATGTGCCTGGTGAACTGTGGAATACGCCAGTATGTGGACAGCTCGTACAGCAGCTCCAGGGATTGATGTGAAAGCGGAACAAAGTCCTCAGACTCGGCGTGCAACTGATCAAACGTCATTGCGTTCTGGAGGATCATCTTATAGAACGCCCTCGGGTCAGGAGGAATGAAGGTGTAGCTGGGCTCATCCACGCTGCGTATACTGGAATTGTCATCAAATGAGAGGGAGCTCAGGCTGAAGGACGGGTCGCCCCCAGGGCCGGCTGAATCTGGGTTATTGATCATCTTTGCCAGGTCTGCGAATGCCTGGTCGTCCGAGAAGATTGACGTGGGGCGGACGGGCAAAGGTTTCTCGAAGCTCGTGACAGTCTTGCTGAGATCGGGGCGAACCTTTAATATGTCCAGCATCAGCGACGTCAGGTGCTGACGCTCGCCTCCTTTCCATTCCTCAAAGGACTCGTTGACATCGAAGTCCTGCCGCCTCAGGGCGCCCTCCATATTCGAGTCCAGGCGGTGCTGGTAGGCCTTCAGATCCTTGAGGGCAGACTCCTCGGTCCATATGTTTCGGTTTACATCGACATCGGACTGCAGTTGGGAATTGGTGCGGCCAAAGATCTTGCCCACGATTTGCACCATGTGCATGTCCTTGACCTGGTAACTATGTGGTATGTCGACCTCGATGGTCTTGTGCTCGCCACCGCCCTGGCTGCTGTCAATCGACAGGTTCTCGTCGTTGCGTAGCAGCTTCTGCTCCAGCGTCTGGAGCTTGCTCATGAGCTCAGGCTTGTCCTTGTCGGTGCCGTGCTCCCTGAATATGCTCAGGATGAGCCTCACGAACAGGGCGAGGTGCCTATCCACCAGGATCTTCCAGGTGTGGTCATCGGGGGCTTTCCCTCGGCCCTGGGCTCTAGACGCAGACGAGTAGAAGATGAGAATCAGGGGCTCGAGCTTTCGGTCCTTGTCAAGACTCTTGCGGAAGCTCGACTCCGTGAAAGAGGTGTAGGCCTCGGCGAAGCTCCTCTTCAGGTTCGGGTCGCTGAAGCCCTGCAATTTCTCGGTCCCCCTAACCACATGCCCCATGCGCTTCTCCAGCCAGCCAGGGAAGCTGTGAGGGAGCTTGACCTCCTTGCCCGAGGTTGAGCCCGTGGGGATGAACTCCTTCACCAGCTCGCCGATGTTCTGCGTGTACGTGTGCACCCTGGTGGGCGCCTTGGGTACCGTGACATACTCCTTCCTCTTCTTCTTGGGCTGCAGCAGGTAGTGCAGGAAAGCGACGCTCAGGGCGTAGTTGTACGCATCCTCGTAGCTGACCTGGGACTGGAAGGCCCGCGAGCCGGCCCTTGACCTCCGAGGCGAGCCACCATCCTCGCGCTGCAGGCGATTTATGCTCTTGTTCAGACTCCTGCTGTTGTGCTTGTACTGGCGGTCCGAAGATGTCGACATCTTGAGAGTTGCAGTCTAGGACGGAGTAGCGCAGGGCGAGGCAGGGCGGGGTGTTGCCGTGGCGTGGGTGGAAGTGACGTCCGCGCCCCTTATCTTGACGACAACATCACTCGAGGGGGCGGGTTGCAACAGGACGCACCAGGCAGTTGGATCGTTGGCTCGCGGGTATTGGGGGAGTGGATGCAGCGCAGCTTTTGATGGAGCGGAGGATTGGTTGTAGAACGGGTAGACTAGCTGTCAACAACGGCGCCGTTGGGGTTGCCGGCTACTTTGTATGTTACGTATGCACGTTGGACGTTGTACGTGGTGTGTAGTGTGTATAGTGCCGTATGCACGAACGGTGCGCAGTTGGACTAAGGAGCGTCGGGTCCTGGTCGCGGTGAGAGGGCAGCAAGGGCGGCACTGGCACAACTTTTTGCTTGTTCAGGAGTTTGGTAGATACGGTAGATACAGTAGACCTAGTTGGCTGCAGGGTGTCCAGGCGCAGTGCAGGGACGGGCAGGGCAGGATGGATGTGGAGGATGGAGGGTGGAGGAAGGGTGGACTTGCTCTCTGTTTAGTTCCCACCGATTGCAGCCCAAAGGGACGTCATCAGCCAGCCAGCCAGCCAGTCTGGCCAGTCTCTGCCGGCCATTCTAGCAGCCCAGCGCGCGAGGACGAATGGGAGACAGATGCGCCTGCTCATGGGTTCTCCCTGCCTGTGTCTGTTGTTTGGTGGTTTGACGCCGATGCGGAATCCCCCCCTCCCCTCCCCCACTGGGCCTTTCTAATTCCAGCTTACCCCTTACCGTATCACAGAATTAAACATGCGGACCTGCTAGACTATTATCCAGTGAGACACGCAGATTGTTATGAACGAGCCAGGTTCTCCAACTTTTCTAGTCAGTTGCAGTCGGTCACCTCCCGCGACAGGAGAGAATGCACGGTAGACTATTGCATTATTGTAACCATCCTCCACCGTTCAGACCACTTTGAGCATACTCAAGCCTCGTCAAGTAGCCATCTGCACAACTCTTGGCACTTCGCAGAATTGCCTATGAGCATGCTCCCTGCATGATGCGCAGCAATAACTTTGAACGGCAAGTCAATATCATAAGCTTGACAGCACGGCTTCTCGGCACCGCAACCACGCCGCGCAGTGCTTGATCTCTGCTGGTGATTGCATCTTGGTCCTCTGGTAAACACATCGTCACAGCCATGATGCCTAGGTATCAGTAGCTGCGAGATGGCTACGCGCGAGTACCGCACCCGGCGGTGAGTGTCGGCCCGTACAGGCTATTTTGAGATGCCCAGGGTGCCTGAGGCTAGCTCTCTCACGATCTGTCAAGCGGATACAAAGATGGACACAGCTGTGTCCAGAACCGACGCTGTGGGGCAGTCCTATACGAGTGACAGTTCAAGCTGCAGGAAGACGACAACACGCTCAGAATGCGTGCGATGACGAGTAAAGCGAGCCTCGTGGACGTTGCCGCAGTCCCAGGGTGATAGGTCAGCTCTCTGACCTCGCTCTCGGATTGGCCATTAGCGTGTGCTTGAAATCTGATTGACAAGGAGGATCAGAAGCAAACTGAGCAAACAGGCAGGTGTTTTGCCGTCCCGGCCGAAGAAGTCGTCACCGTCACCGCCTCACGAAGGCTTAGATCTCGTGTTGGAAGAGTCAACGGCGAAGTTCTGTTTCTCCCTGTGGCAGCTGCTGCCAGATATGTATGCATGGTCAGGACGGTTCATATGCGTGAGAAAGTCTGGGCGGGTGGACGTTGCTTGTGGCCGTTGCTTGTGACCGAGACTGACGGGCCCGAGGCCTTAGTCTTTTTGTGAGTGATGCAATAACTGGGGCAGGGGGGCAATCTAACGGAGGCGTTTCGAAGAGCTGGCCCAAGGTTTCCCCCCCTGAAGGGGTCTCACCTGCATGGGGGCAACTGGCCGATCCCCGGGCCTCGATTGAAGATCAGATGGTGTTGCTTAGCTTTGGTGCAGGTCACTAGTAATGTCATTCCAGGGTGCTGGTGCTGGAGTCGTGATCTGGAGAAATGAGCCTTCATGCCCAACCCGAGCTGCCTGTACCTGTTCCAGCTGCTCCCAAGGCGGTCCGTAGTCATGCGGGATGGTGACGCTGGCTCTTATCTCGAGTCAAAGAAACCAGCGCCCACCCGTTCTCGAAAAAACTTAGGCAGGTTGGCTTGGTTACTGGTGATTGAATCCCATGTTGGCCGCGGCCTAGTGTCGAGCGCGAGCGTGACAATCGAAGAAGGACGACAGATATAAATAATCAATAGGACTGGGACTGGACTGGAATGCCACCTCACCTATACACACAGTACGATACCGACAATTGACATTGCAGCTCGCACATCTGCAATCGATGTTGGAGCCAGGAATAGAAACTCAAACCCCAACCTCCAAAACCTACTCGGCCGCCTGGGTACCGAATCTACCTAGGTGCTAGGCTCGATCCTGTATGTACATCATGTAGCCTAGTCACAGTACCTGTGCCTTGTGCCTGTGCCAGTGCCACGGCAAACGCGCGCCGCAGCAGCAGGCAGTCGAGGCTAATAAGATCAGGTCCCAGTAGGTCGGGCACAGGGACGCCTTGCCGTCGAGCCTTGAGCCTTGAGCCAAGCACTTATCTACGTCTTCCTGCAGATTGTCCGTCTATCTATCTGTCTGCCTGCTTACTCCCTCTGTCCATCGTCGTGCGCGCCGTGTCACGCTGGGTTCAACTCATCCTCAATCTGGCTGCTGGTCCCTGAGGATCCACACACATCCTCTGCCGCCTCCTGCAGCACAAGCACGAGCACGAACACAAGCACCATCAGCTCCCTGTACTGTCCCAGCCCAGCCCAGCCTGCCCTGCCCTGCCCTGCCCTGCGCAACCCCGCGACAACTTGAGTGGCCCACATAGCCAGGTGCCCTTGCCATGTTGGACTTCCAACCTCTTTAATAATATCGCAGCAGATCAGATACCAGACCACTCGCCCTCGACAATTAATCCCATCTCCCCATTCGCCTCTTAGCCGCACCTGCACCCATTATACGCGACACAATAGCCTTCCCCTCTACATGACTACGGCCACCGCCCCGTCCCATACGACAGCTCACAACCCCTCGCCCTGCCTCCCGGCTCTGGGAGAGGCCCTCGAGCCCCTGACGCTTCATCATGGGTAACGTCTCGAGCAGGCCCGATGATGGCGCCTCGCTCTATCTCAGGGACCAGAATCGATGTGAGTCCGGCCTCTGCACCTACAGTGCGTCTTGCCTCCAGCCTTGGGCCCTGTGCTGACTCTGCGCCCCTCTCCCCTAGTATCTATCGCATCGCTCGTCATAAGCAATAACCGAAAGCGCACATCTATCATCATCTCTCCCAATGCATTTCCCGCCACAAGAGTATTAGCATCGCGCCCCGCCGGCGACAGCGCCCCAGTTGAGTTTATACAGGTCAGCCCTGTCCCCGCTCCTTTGGTCGCCGTCCCTGTCACGAGGGTCACCAAGAGTTACATCTCATCCTACACCGGAGACTGACTGGCTTGTGTATGATCTGCAGGATCCCGAGTCGGCGACAAACCCCGGCGCGCCTGCCTTCCTGCTGAAGCTCAGCAATGATGACGAGCTCATGTTCACATTTACCTTCAACGTCCGCCAAACACCGATAGCGAGCCCCGACCCGAATGGCAATGCCGTGGACACCCAGATTAATGGCCTCACATATGTCTACGCGCCCACTTCCAAGGAAGTTGAGAACCTCGTCACACGGGAGTTCCACGCCGACCCGAACCTTCACAAGAACTCCAACGTCGAGCTGATTGGCGACTTCACAACTGGTGGCAGCGGCTCTGTCACCTTCGACTGGGCTTGGAAGTGGAAACCCCCCAGAAATGCTGAGGACTCAGGCGGTGGATGGAGGAACTCCTGCAGCGTACGTTCGGACGCCCATGCTGTAATGTTTGCGCCTCTCTGACTCCCTCACAGTTTGTGCAATACGACTCGCGCGCGCATGAGCTGCAGACCCTTGCCAGCTTCTCATTCTGGGTCCAGAGTAGGTCTCACAGACTACTGATCCCCCAGCTACCATATTCTAACTATATACAGACGCTTCGCCCTACCTCAGCCAGCCCAGCTCCCCACCACCCTTTCTCCTGACCGTGCCACCAAGAAGCCGCGGTGCTTCGTCCCAGTCCGTCGATTCGAGAATAAGCACTCTCGAGATTGACGAACCTGCTTCTCCGACTGTCACGGCGCACGACACTAACAATGGGGTATCTCCCTCGGTCACTACCGTAGCCGTCCCAGCCATCCCGGCCATCCCTATTCCAGAGCCAGTAAAGGTCGATGTTTCTTGTCCGAAGCCAAACGAAGATGTGTCCGCATCGGACGATGGGCCTGTGTTCCGCGCGACAATGAAGGCGTTGGAGCAAAAGACAGGGAACATGCGAACACAGATGAAGCGCATGATCAAGAAGGCTGAGGCCGCCCACGCAGCACAGATCGAGGCAAATGACGCCCAAGTGGCTTTCGTCGACTCTCTCAGAGGCGCATCTTCTACAAACGCAAACGCGGTCCAGCCGGCCATCGAACATTACTTTGACAAGATTGCGCGGGAGATACTGAGCTACGAGAGGCAAAACACACTCAACCTGCAGAAGATAGTGATCGAGCCACTGAGCAAGCTGTACCAGATCGACATCAAGCAGGCCGAGGCCAAAAAGCGGGATTTCGAGGAAGAAAGCAAGGACTTTTATGCGTACGTTGGTCGATATCTCGGTCAGCGACATGATTCCGTCAAGGCCAAGCACAGCGATACCAAGTACCAGACGAAGCGGCGCAATTTCGAACTCAAGCGCTTCGACTACTCATCGTTCATGCAGGACCTATCAGGAGGCCGCAAGGAACAAGAAGTGCTGTCACATCTCACTAGATATGCGGATGCCCAGGCTCGAGCTTACCTGCAGGCTTCCAAAAAGGTCGAAAGGCTCCTCCCGCAGCTCGAGGCTCTGTCGAGCGAGGTCCAGGTGGCGGACAAGGAGTACCAGTACCAACGACGAGAGCGCGAGGAGAAACGAAGGCTTCTTGAGAAGAGCAACCTCAACTATGTAGAGCCAGAGTCCATCCCCTCTTCCATCTCAGGCAACAACGCGAACGGGAACACATCCGACACGGAGATGAGCAGGGCAGACAGCACGGGCTCACAGCTCAAGTCGATTGCGATCAGCAGCTCAAACACGCCAGCCCCAAGTGCTAGTGACCTCTCCAGGTCTCCAGGCAGCCTGAGCCACGCCATGCTGGCCAGCCCGTCCCAGGGCTCAAAATTCAAGGGAATCCGGGACTTGGAAGAGCGCGACACGACTCAGACCGAGACGGAATCGCAGAGGAAGGAAGGGCTCCTGTGGGCTCTGAACCGCCCTGGTGGCCACGTCGACCCTCGAAACTTGAATAAGCAGGGCTGGCACAAGTATGTTACTATCGTCCCCAATCCACTTCTTGGCTAACCCCCCTCCCCTCAGGTTCTGGATTGTGCTAGATGGTGGCAAGCTCTCAGAGTACAGTAATTGGAAACAAAGGCTCGATTTGCACATGGACCCCATCGATTTGCGAATGGCATCCGTGAGAGAGGCAAGAAATGCAGAGCGACGCTTCTGTTTCGAAGTCATCACCCCGCATTTCAAGCGTGTATACCAGGCGACGTCCGAGGAGGACATGAACAGCTGGATCACAGCGATCAACAACGCGCTACAGAGCGCAGTCGAGCGGGGGTTGAAGGACCAGCCGGCACATTCCAGCACACCGTCAAACGAATCCGGGTCCTTTAGGAGAGACATCGGGTCCATCTTGACAGGCAAGAGTCCTTCACTTGGTCATGCGCAGGCACACCCGCCATCAGCGGCAGGTATGCCAGGTCGTCGGACGACCGTGGGTGCTCGACCGCAGACCCGGGGAGGCGCCCCGACCGGCGGCACCTTTGACGAGAATCCTGACAAGCTGCTCCAACTGCTTCGCGACAATGACCAAGGGAATTGCTGGTGCGCTGATTGTGGTTCGGGGGCCAAGGTCGAATGGGTATCCATCAACCTCGCCATTATCCTGTGTATCGAATGTAGCGGCATCCACAGGTCACTAGGGACACACATCAGCAAGGTCCGGTCGCTCACCCTGGACATTACGTCTTTCACACCCGATATCGTTGAGCTACTCCTGCTCGTGGGCAACCGGGTCTCCAACATGATCTGGGAGTCGAGGCTGGAACCCGGCGTGAAGCCGTCGCCTCAGGCAACCCGCGAGCAGAGGCTCCGCTACATTACCGCCAAGTACGTGGACAGGGCTTTCGTCGAGCCGATCTCGTCAACACTGTCCAGGTACCCCTCTCCCGATGACACGCTCCTCGCGGCCATCAAGAAGAACGAGATTCAGCAAGTCATCTACGCCCTCGCCCTCCGCGCCAACCCCAACGTCGCCGACAAATCCCGCGGCACTCATCCCGTATTCCTCGCCCTCGCCGCTGCCGACCCCGCCTCCCCAAGCCCAGCAGTTTCACCACAACCACCACCGACCGCTGACGCGAAGACTGTCCCGTTCCCCATCGCCGAAATGCTCCTGCAGAACGGTGCTGAAGTACCCGCTGGGCTGCCCGCATTCCCGCTCAGCCGCAGCGCCCAGCTGTACCTCGAAAACAAGCGAGGAAAGTCAACGCACGGGTCATTCCTGACAGGCAACCTCGGCGTTGACGGTGTGGGGAGCCTGCCCATGACCGGCGGCGGAGCGAGCCCGCTGGCGTCCAAGGACAAGGAGGGCCGGATCGCGAAGCGGGCCAGCGCGGGAGGCAGGCTGGCCAAGTCACCCATTCCTGAGAGATAGGGCTGCTCCGTACCGTTGACGTTCTGGCCAATCCACTTCCGCAGCAGCCACAAGGAGGGTGACCACGCAAGGAGGCTGCTGCAGATGTCATCTTCGTCGTGAACACCCTTAGTTGTTCTTCTTTCCTCCTCCTGTTGTTTTTGTTTCACCGGCGGCAGCATTGGAAGCAGTGTCTGCCCCCTGTCTTTATTGAATGTTTTCGCTCCCAAGGGTGGTCCAGTCGTTGCACGTCACCTATTTCCCATCTGACTCTCTAAGCAATTTGGGATTCCGGGTATCTGAGGTTTCACACTTGAGGGCGTCACGGAGCAAAGCCAGCAAAGCATGAGAGCATCGCCTCTCCCACCTTGAAGTCGCGAGAGTGGTCCGTCTGTTTGCTTTTCCTCGTTGGCTGTCGAGTTTCTCATACAATCATCTATCTGTGGGCAGGGGCGAGAGAAGGTCACACACATATATATATACACGCATTACTCACGCAGTCGTATATCGAACATTCGATGCGATACCGCATAGGGAGACGGTTGGGAAGTGGGGTGCCAGGGGTGGATCGCACCCACAGGAAAGCAGGAAATGTCAGAGAGCGCTTTTTGGAAAGTTCTGGATTGATTGATGGATGGAAGGAAGGATGGACGGACGATGGGGATATGATGATTTTCCGACTACGACGATGATGACGGCTACTACACTTTTCATCGGATTGGTTTGGTCGGTCGGTCATGAGGAAATGGCGGGGGAACGGACGGTGTAAGGATAGGTTCTACAGGTCTAATGGTAATATGGAATGAACGATCGAAGAATATCGATGATCGACTGCTACATTTCAAGTAACCGCTTGCGTACGTACTGCACGAGATAAGCAGCACGATGTAGAGACCGTATGTGATGATTTGGAAATGGGAGACGCCCTAGTTCTGGCCAAGATGCCTTGTGCGACTAGATGGCATCTGGTGGCATAGAAAATTGTATGAACAAGTAATGCATTCATCGACAAGATCACAGGCCATTGTTGTTTTGATAATGTCTTTGAGAGGTCCTATGTACTAATAGACATAACGTGAAGTGACCTCCGACCCCATAACGCCATGGCTTTTCCTTAACAAGTACTGATTCGGCAGCTTCCTCCTTTGTTCTGGTCTGTTGTGGCCTGCCTGCTGTCATTCCCGTGGCACATTCGAAACAATTTCAATCCTTCAACCGTTCTGAAATGACATCTCATGGCCGCGAACCTCCTGAATGTCGGCCAGTGAATAGAATGCATCAATCGTCCCCCGTAAAAGCAACAACGAGATGCAGAACCCATCGTCCGTGAGCAAGCGACAAGATACTCGACATACCATAATCAAGGCCACCCTCAGCAAAATTAAAATCAACAAAACCTCGACAATTCAAACTTCGTCCCTCAGAAGTCGAAATCCATCTCAAACGAGTCGCCCATCCAGTCTCGCCGGAATCGTCCCATAAGGTTCGTCAAGGAAGGCTTGGCAGGCGAGGTGGGGATCTCACAATACTATTGTTTGTTTCCCTTGGCCGCCTTTCCCTTGACAGCCTTCGGCTTCACTCCATTGGCGTTCTTGGTTGATGTCGTCGCTGGACCTGGCTCTTCTGGAAGGTCATCCTTGGTGTAGTGGCTGTTCGCATCATGACTGAAAAGGGTTTCATCGCCCTTGCCGCCCATTGCCACGAACTCCTCCGGGTCCCTACCGTCGAAGGGTCTGGGCTCCGCAACCACCGGCCGAGTATTCTTCTTGTACACAGTGACAGGATCCTTGCCGTTGACACCAGGGACTTCTTTGACTCGGACCGAGTTGATGCTGCTGAGTAGAGTGCGCTCGCGGACGACACCGCGGCGCTGGAGATCAAGCCCGTTAACGCCGCCAACCAAGCCGTCGGTGCTGTCATTTACTGCGGGACCCTTGGCAGTCATCCACGGGTGGTCCAGGCATTGGTCGACAGTGAACCGCTTCTCCGGGTCGACAACAAGCATAGAATCGATCAAGTCAACTGTGAATACCGGTCAATCGGGGATACGATCCAAAGAGAAAGTGTGCTATGTTGACTTACGAGCAGGGTCGCCGACGGAGTCCCAGTACGGCGAAGGATAGTCGAATCTGCCGCTCTTGATCTGCTGTGACAGTGTGTATGGAAAGTCCTGCGAGTACAGCTCATCTGAGAATGGCGGGAACCCGCAGAGGCAGATGTACATGACGACTCCGAGTGACCAGATATCGACGGCCTTCGTGTACTTTCTATGCCTGGTATCGGCAAGGATTTCTGGTGCCACGTAGCTTGGCGTGCCGCAGAGCGTGGTGGTGAATGACTCCTCGCCGATGATCTTCGCGAGGCCAAAGTCTGCAAGTTTGACGTGAAGGTCGCGATCCACCATCAGGATGTTCTCGGGCTTGATGTCACGATGAACAATGTTTCGGTCATGCTGTTGCTTGAGTTAGCAGATGCGACATGGGTGAGGTCGAACTGTCTCACCAGATACTTGATTCCCTGGAACAGCTGGATGAACAGCTTCCGCGTCTCATTCTCGCTCAGCTTCTGCTTCATTACGATGAAGTTGAAAAGCTCTCCCTCTGCCGCGAGCTCGAGCACGAGGAAGACAGCGTGCTTCTCGTTGAAGGTGTCTTTCAAGCACAGCACATTGGGATGGCTGACACCCATAAGAACAGCAATCTCCTGCTGCAGACCGTCCGTCTTTGATCGATCCTCTACGCCCGGAGTCTTTGTGAAGATCTTGACAGCATATCTCGTTCCGGTCGCTTTCTCAACGCACAGGAAGACTTCAGCAAAATGGCCCTTGCCCAGCTGCTCGAGTAAGGTGTACTGCTGGAGGAATGCGTTGCTCTGCCGGGCCTTGGGATACTTGAAGATGAAACGCGCCTTGTCCAGCACTGCTATCTCGTCACCCTCCTTCAGCTCTCGCCGTTGGTTCCGACCAATGATCGCTTCGTTGACAAAGGTGCCGTTGCTCGACAGATCCTCCACTATTGCAACAGTGTCATGGGTCTTGTGCTCTGTGAATAGCAAGCAATGGCGATTTGAGACGCTAGGATCATCCACGACAATATCTACCACAGGTTAGCATCGTTTCTCAAAGAGACGGCTGGCGCCCGCTGGAGCCCGCTGGAAACGTACCACACTCCGGATGGCGGCCTATTAAGTAACCACCAGAGGGAGCATCGCTGAGCTTGGTGTGCTCGAAGCTCTCCTCCTGCTCCTTGGGCGACTTCTTGGCTCCTTTCTTCTTCTGTCCGCCATCGCTCAGCGCATCTGACCTCGGACACGCAGCTCTCTTCCTCATCACCAGGCACTTGCCACCATATTTCGTGTTCAGAGGGAATAGATATCCCCAGACTCCTTCCTTGACCTCATCCTTGACTTCTTTCGAGTATGGCTCGTTCGGGTCTATGACCTGCTGAGAGAAGGCCTGGGTGTCCTGAGGTGGCGACGAGAAGCCTTGAACTTGGGAATAGGTCTCCTGGCTCTTGGTGAGGACCTGGCTGGGGCGGCCCTCGGGCGGGGTGGCGGTACCCTCCTTGAAGCGCGAGCTGCTGTCCTCGGGGGAGATGTGTGTTACGGGTGAGGGCAGCTGCTGCTTGGTGTTGACGGGTGTCTTGACCGAGTGCTGTTGCGACGACAGGCGCTCGGATCGGCGAACTTTCTTGGACGAGTCAGGTTCGTGCTCTGCGGGCGAACCCTGGCAAGGAAGCGTGCGAGTTAGTAATACTGTTAAGCAGCGCGGTAAAGATGATCAAATTTTGTGAAGCGACGCCAAGCAAGGCAACTCTCAAGAACGCGATGCGCGTATGGTCTCTCGGTGGAAGGCAAGCGGATGATGGGTGGGCGTGTAAGCCAGAAGTGGGACTCGGGGACCTACGGCAGCGCGCTTCAATTGGCTCTGCTCGGCACGGGGAGCCATTTTCTTGTAGGTACGCAGGCAATGGGAGCTGCGAACGGGGTGGAGGAGCCAGGTAGGAGCAGGCGAGATGTTGCAATTCACGGTGAGCGGCGAGGATCGTGAGGTTCTGCCTGGAGGGCGGAGGGTTGGTAGTCACAAGTGGGCAAGGTGGGCACGGTGGGCAGGGTAGGCGAGGTGGATAGATAGATGGATGATGTCTGCGTCTACCAGGAAGAGCCGCGAATGCGATTACTGTACAAAAAGGCACCTACCCTGGGGGATTTTTAGTCCTAGTGTGCCAATGTCGCCGCCTGGACGTTCTTTTCCTACGACAAAACCCCTGCAAGTGCAAAGCGCGGGCGCGGGCGCAGGTGCAGGTGCAGGGCCAGAGGCAGGTGCAGGAGGTGCAGGTGCGCGGTCGTCCCAGTCCCAGTCCCCAGGCCCAGGCAGATCAGGTCCAGGTTCCGGGTCCTGGTCCTGGTCCAGGGGTGGCCCGAGGGTCAACTGGTGTGTGTTGAGCCTCCGGTTTCTCAGCTGACTGACATCATTCAGTCTGCATCAAAGGAGGTGGGCAGGCCTGGCAGGTAGACTGGTAGACTAGGAGACTAGATAGGGAGTCTCGGGAGGAAACTGGATTGGGAGCGCATTGCCTGCTTGTAAGTCGAATCATCGAGTGGCTCACCAGTCCCTCCTGAAACATATTGTGACTCGATGCCGAGCTCGGGCGGGCACGCGTGCTTGTCCGCCTATTGTCTCTGCCATCCAGCCTGCTCTGCTCCTTTTCGGTGTGAAGTTGCTCAGCCCTGTTTGGAACCAAGGACTTGTTGTTTCTAATGGCATCAAGGAAGTAGATTATGTATGGAGTTACTGGTATAGTATGCAGAAGGCAATCTCTAACTCATCCCAGACTGATAAGGTTGGCCCAAGTATCGATCGGATGACTCTTCTTGCCCCCCCGGCTCCTTGAGCCAACCGTGAATACGAGAGTGGTGCGCGTACCCCTGTATCACTCACCGTGACGTTGGTTTTCTGTCCAGAAATTGAACGACATGGCCGTCAAGGCCGATAACCATAGAATCAATCAAAGCAAAGTCATGCAATATTGAATATTTTATGGCAACCTTGGAAAACTGCAGCACGGAATGATGACCCCGGCACAACCTTGGAAGCTTGGAGATTTTCTCAGATCCCACTTGACCCTAGGGCAAGCTCGACCGCGAGCGAGGCGTGTGTGATCTATTGGAAACTCAGCAGCATGTTCCTGTCACATGGTCTGCCTGGCCCTGGTGAAGAGAAATGGAAGACATATGCACAGACGGATGGTTGTCTTAGCAGTACGGTCTGCTGGTCGGATGGGTCAGAATCCCGGCCAGGTACTTCGTGACTGACGAAGTGGGCAGCTGAACTTTGGGAAGCAAGCACGCAGTGGTGCGCCACAGAGCACGTCTGCCCCTCACCTGCCCGCGCCTGGCCGCCTCCCCATCCTGCCAGCCTGCCCGTCCAGCCGTTCACGTAGCTCCTGGCCTGAGCTCCTGACCCCTGCCTAGCGCGCTTTTCAAGCCACATGCCACAAAACACTCTCACTGAATTTTCTGGCAAAGTGCGGCGTTGCTTGCCCAAAAAAACGGGGACTCTGCTTGAGCTTGAGCCTGATTGCAAGCGAGCGCCAGTGGGGTCTGTGAATCTGAGGGTGAAAGAAATCTCTCCTTCTGCAACAACCAGCGCCCAAGACGTCTCCGGGTCGACATCCCGCCTCTCTGCCCACTCTCGCTCCCTCTCCTACACTCACTGTCCTCCCGAGTCCCGAGGCCAGGCGCATACTTCCCCGGAGAAGGATTAAAAAAAGAGTCACCCGCAAAAAAAGACACCCAATATGGCGCCCCGTGGCCTGGTCTTCGTCGATGGGAGCAGCAGCGATGTCCTGCAGGAAGTCGCCGACTACGTCAAGGTCAGCGACGAGGTCCGACCACTGCTCGAGAAGAACCAGACCGAGGATGCCATCACGGCCATCGTCAAGGCCTCCTCTGTCCTGAACTCGGCCCCCGAGAAGGAGTTTGGCCCCGCCTACAACCTGCTCATCTACGCCGTCATCAACTACTCGAAAGAACCGAAGAAGCACCTGCCCCAGATCTGCCAAAACCTCACGAAACCAATCACCTCCTCCCCCATAAACGGCCGCGACCTCGCCCTCGGCAGCCTGTCCACCATCTTCAACCTCCTCGCCAAGGACGACCCCATACGGTTCAACGTCCTGTTCCAGATCGTCCGCTTCGTCAAGGCCAACAACCTGTTTGACACCATCAAGCCGGCCCTCAAGAACATCCCCGGCTGGCTCGAGGCCTGGGACACCGATGACGAGGACAAGCAGCGGTTGTACGTCGAAATTGCCGACGCGGCAGAGGCCGCCGACGAGAACAAGATCGCATACGAGTACCTCCTGCAGGCCCTGCAAACGTTCGACGCCGATGACAAGGACGACATCGCCTCCGAGGAGGCGCAGAAGCTCTCCCTGCGCGCCCTCAAGATGGTCCTCGTCATCGACCGGCCGTGGGCCTACGACTTCCAGGGCCTGCGCGTCCTGGCCCCGGTCCAGGCCCTCGCCGACTCCCACCCCGTCTACGCCCAGCTCCTCGACATCTTCGCCGAGCAGGACCTCGAGGACTTTAACGACTTCAACGACGAGCACGAGGGCTTCCTGGAGAAGGAGAAGCTGGACCACAAGACGCTGCAGACCAAGATGCGCCTCCTGACCTTTGCCAGTCTGGCAGCGTCCCAGCAGGAGCGCGAGATCCCCTACGCCGTGATCGCCAAGGGCCTGCAGGTGCCGTCCGAGGAGGTGGAGCACTGGATCATCGACGTCATCCGTTCACAGCTGGTCGAGGGCCGCATGTCGCAGAGGGAAAAGGTGTTCAAGGTGCACAAGACCATCTACCGCGTGTTCGGCGACAAGCAATGGCGGGAGCTGCAGTCGCGCATCGACGTCTGGAAGACGACCCTCAACAACGTCCACGGCGTCCTGAGGGTCCAGCAGCAGGAGGCCGAGAAGCAGAAGGAGAGGCAGCAGCAGGAGCTGGAGAAGAAGCTGGCAGGAGTTGGGTTCAACGACGGCCCCAGCCGCGGAGGGCGCAGGCAGCAGCAACGAACCGATAACGACGACTAGAGACCATGCCAGAACGAAATCATGACGTCCGAATCATGTCCAAGGGTAGCTGAATGAATCCCTAGCGGAAATGCTCCTATCTTCTCAAAGGAGATAATCACCCAGGGAGGGGGCGGACGCGACCCCCTGGGGTTGCCAGGCGTTGGGAGGACAGAGCATAGGTAAAAAATGCTTCGGAATAAAAACTTGCATTTTCGATCCATGTCGTCGTCCCGCTACCAGAGTGTATATATACCGTGACCGTGGTAGCTTTGTTCTATGTTGTATCTTGATAGTCTCTGGACCGTATATCTAATGTCCCGATCCCATCATCAAACGCCTATTCTATGGCTTCTCCCGCTCTCTCTCTCTTTCCCAGCCAGCCAGCCTGCTTCCCAGCCTGCTCGCCCCCACCAGCTCAGAAATCCGCACCCAGCCTCTCCTTGATGGCGGCCTTGGTGTGCTCGGCGACCTCCTCGGGGGGCGGCGTGGCGTCGATCTTGACGACGCGGCCCTGCTTCTCGTAGTACTCGACGACGGGCATGCTGGTGTCGACAAAGGTGCGGAAGCGCTTGCGGATGCTCTCCTCGTTGTCGTCGGCGCGGCCGCTGGTCTTGCCGCGCTCGAGGAGGCGCTCCTCCATGACGGCCTCGGGGCAGTCGTAGAAGAGGACGAACTCGGCGGCGCACACCGACTCCTCGAACTTGAGCGCCTGGTCCAGCTTGCGCGGGAACCCGTCGATCAGGAACCGCCGGCCCTTGGGGCTCGTCGGGTTGCCCGCGATCGACGCCTTCATCGCGTTCTCCAGCAGCGCGATCGTCACCTCCATCGGCACGATCTTGCCGTCCTTGATGTAGTCCTTGATCAGCTGCCCGTACTCGGACCCCGCCCGGTCCTGCTCCTCCCGCAGCAGGTCGCCCGCCGACAGGTGCGTGAAGCCGTAGGTCGAGACTAGCTTGGAGCACTGGGTGCCCTTGCCGGCTCCGGGGCCTGTGGGAGAGGGTGTGTCAGCAGTCGTGTTCTACTCTGGGAATTGGGAGCTGCTATCGTCTACTGAGGGTGGGTTGACTGACCGCCAAGGACAAAGAGTACTGTTGTGTCGGTGATAGGCATGTTGAGTGGTTTCTTTGTGGTTATAGGGTTGAACGCAGGTATTGGGCACGTCTGACGTAAAGTTGATGTTTTGCTGGAACTGGAGGAGAGGAGATGGGGCGCAGAAAAGCAGAGGGCAGGACTCGGTGTAGAGGTAGGTCCCTGGATCTTGTGAAGCCAGCTTCCAAGGTTGGTGAGTGACGTGGGGCGGTTTTCAGGGGTCTCGCCTCGACTGGAGCTTGAAATGGTCGAGAACAAAGAGCTTGCTGGTCCGTGCCCGTGCCCCGTCAAGGTGGGATGGCATGGTTTGTACCGTCTGAAATCGAAACATGCCAACGTCTATTCCCCAATGCGTCAATTATGAGATTCTATATTTTCTGTCTTTTCCCCGTCTGGGTCACCAGTGTTCATGAGACTGCGCTGTGACAATACGCATAGTAGCACTTCCTGGTCCGAACAACTCATGGTCTACATCTGGCTCATGCTCCACCACCAACGCGATCTTGGCCGGCTTATTGAGGCGGAATATTGACACTCAAGATGTTCACAATGCACATCAAATCATGCTCCTCAAGGTGTTCTCACCAATTTTGTCTGGTTTCAAGTCTCTCACTTCCAACGGAGCTCATCGGATTTCGTCTCCATGTCCCGTACTCGTTGACATGCTCGTGCAGTAGTCTCAAAATAGGAACCTGCACGCTCCAAGTTGAATGACCTAAGGTCACAGGAGCATCTCCCGAGACAAATCTCACAAAAAATCACCTCGGACGGGTAGTGTATGCATAAATGTCAAGACATGTGCTCGTCATTCTTTCTAGACTAAACAGTCAAGCAGTCCTACTTGTACAAAGTAGTCCCAATTTCATCAATCCCACACATTAAAAAAGAACGGCTTGCCAGTTCCTCTCATAGATATTTGCCCAGTCCAAGAAAACGCCGGTGGTATAGGTAAGACAGCCCGGCTCAGCGCAGCTGCTTGGTAGACAAAGAAGATCGATCACTCATATATATAGACAATTAGAAACTCCATTCCCTCGCAACCAGTGCACCCCGCATTTTTTACCTCATGTTGAAGCTTGTCTGTGCTGGTGGTGGGCTCTTGATGGCCTGACCAGCGTATGCACCAGGAATCGGCACGCTCTCATACACAGGCTCGTCTGCCGAAGCAGGACCGTGACCGTGCTCGTTGACGGTGATTGAGGGCACGTTGGGTGGCGGTGTCGATGAGGATGGCCAAGAGGCTGTGGGGCTGGGACCCTCGACGGGCGAGAAGGACTCCTTGGTACCAGCCTTGGGGGTCGCGCTGGGTGCCTTGACCGGAGGGGCCTGGAGCTTGAAAGGCTTCTCGGACTTCTGGGCGAAGGTGCTTGCTGGCTCGGGGATGTGCTTTCCGCCGGGAGTGAATGGGTTGCCCTCTTCGATGTCGCCCAGGGAGCGGAACGCAGCGGAGGGCGGCAGGCGTGGGGACAAGGCGTGCTGGGAGTACCCGCCTGGTGACTTGGGCCCGTAGACGGATGCAAAGCCGGGGGACTTGGGCCCGAAGCCGGGGGTGTTGGGGGCGGACTGGGTTCGGAGCTGTGCGAGGTAGAGGTCGGATCGGGCCTTGTCGCGCATGTCCATGGACTTCATGAGCTTTCTCTTGGTGTGGTAACGGTAGAAGACGATCGAGTACAGGGTGATGGAGATCACTTCGATGACAACTTCGATGATCATGCAGATCAGAGACCAGTTCTATTCAACGGTTAGCTTTATTTCCATGTGGGTGGGGGGACGCCAAACAGTCTCGTCTTACCTGGAGTCTGCAAACCAGCGCGTAGTCGACCTGGTTGGAAAAGAGCTGTGACCGGGTGTTCTTGACGCAAGACCATCCCCACATATCCTTGTTGTTGCTGTTGTTCCTCGAGTTCTGCAGGACGGCGATGGCGAGGACCCACATGACCATGCTGACAATGAACCAGCCGACGGCGAAGAGCGTGTAGTAGACTCCGACCTTCTCGGCCCTTCGGTGGCCGCCGCGGCAGTATCCAACAAAGACGAGGATGCAGATGAGCAGGGACAGGCACGATGCGGCGAGGACGAGGCATTGTGGCCAGATACTGGTGTTCGTTGCCCAGGCCGGGAGGTTGTTCTGGGCTGGGAGAGCCTTGGTGGCGTTGAAGATGGCGAAGGAGGTCCCGAGCATGGAGAGCACGATCAGACTGCAGCTAAAGTTGACGCTCCGCAGTGCTACCTTGGCGAGCCGCACCCGTGTCTTGATTTTCTGTCGTGGAGATTAGCTTGGTTTCCGACTTTACTGTTCAGGTGGAGGTACATACCAAATCATTTTGCTGCTCCTTCTCCGTCATCTCCTCCCTCTTCTCCAGCATCTGCTCTTCCCTGAAGGTTGGGCTGAGGGGGTTTAGGCCGCGGCCTGGTGTTCCGGGCGCCTTCATGGCGCTCTTGAGTGGTGATCTCGGGCTCATCGGTACGGCGACGGATTCCCGCTGGTTGCTGATGTATCCGAACCCGATGTCCCCTGGCTGTGACTGGGGAACCACGTTCCTGTCTCCAAAACCGTTGCCTGTCGACTCGACGGGCGAGTGGATGCTGGTGGCCTCGGCGAAGCGTGGTGTCCTTGGTGGCTTGCCTATTGATGATGTGGAAGAGGAGGAATCTGTGGATGCTGACCGCACGGGTTGAAGGTTGAGAGCGGCAGGCCGCCTCTTGTCGTCGTTGATCGCCATTGCGACGCTGGGTTGAGTGACGATGCCAGCAGAGAAAGAAGAAAAGAAAGAAAGTGTCTATGGTCCTGTGAGGAAGACGACACTGAGAAGGAAAGAAAAGAGCTTGTCTATCTGCTTATTTGTGGGAGCAAAAGAGTCTGACAAGGCAAAGGAGATGTGAATAAGAGATGTGGATGAGGCCAGCTATCGAGGAGGTGAAGAAAGTTCCAAGGCCGGGCCTGAAGGGGAGGGCAATGGTTTTCAGTAGCCGCTGGCCACGAGGAGGGACGATCTAATTCGGTCCTCGTGGGAGTACCGGGGAGGTGAGTGGCCTGCATGGGTGGTGTTAGCAGATATTTTGTGTAGGTCAGGTAGGACGATCAAGCAGCGGGCGAGGTTCCATACGCAGGACTGGGGTACACGGCATCCGTCAGCTTCCGGGAAGCTGATAGGGCGAACCGACCAAGGTGCCAATGTAAGCCGGCGATTCGTGATGGAAATAGACGCCCAGCAGGGTGATTGAGGTATCAAGGTGGCGCCCGGGCTGGGAGACTCGAGACGGCGGGATAGATGTTGCCCGTGAGGGTGGAGTGTCAGATCGATGTGGCTCCAGGCGCGAAGCTTCCCCGGGACCTGCAGAGATGGGTCTCACGCGATCGATATAATTTTCCAGAGAGAGGAGAGGACAAAAGACACAATCAGAGGAGATTCGGGAGACTCGAGAAATTCTCGAGCAGACAGGGCGAGAGGGGATAGGTAAGGTACATGTACGGGGGGACGCAGGTGTGGGTGGAAATGTACTGAACAGTCAAATCCACACACACCACCACAATCAGAGCGGGACAATTCCATTGATGAGAGCCGTGGTATTGGGACTGCTGAAAATATCACAGCTCCCCTCCCTCGTGCCTCTGCCCCCTCTCACCACTCACCACTAGCCACTCACCTCTGGCCCCTCAGACTAGGCGGGAAGATGCAGCCGAGGGCGACTCGAGCGACAGGAATTGGCGCCATGAGGGCCCTTGTCGTTGCAGTCCCGAGCTTGCCATGCTGGGGTAGAGAGGGACCAGAGGGAGGACGAGCAGGTGATTGGCCTGGGCGGGGGTGGGCTTCCACTCGCATTCTGCCAGATTGAGGCACCACGGCAGAAATGCAGCCTCTTGGTTGGCGACTTGGGCGGCTACGTGACAGCCTGAGAGGCAGACAGGCTCCAGAGATGGGCAGGCGATGGAGACGGTTGGGAGTCCACCCATCCAGCCATCACACCTTCCTCCCGCACCCGCCTGGGATGAGGTGTGCTACCCCTGCACCCTCTGCACCCTGTCGGCAGCCAGGGCACCCCCCGTCCGAGTCGTCCTGGGCGCCTCATTGGCTGCTCATGATCGACATGCTGGAAACGGCCGCCCAATCAACAGACGGTTGCGTGTGATTCTTGGTCGGCGCATCTGCAGCCTGCAGGCGCCTTGCAACCCTCGGCGGCAAGAACCAGTCGATATCACCATCTGGACGCCGGTCTACGAGCTTGGCCCTATCTGACGAGCTGGGGCTCGGAACCCTCTCCTGTCCCGGTGTCTGTGCAGTCCCATCACCAACTGGGCGAGTGATTGCTGTCAGTTCATGTTAGACTGTATAACTAAGTCCTCGAGGTTTAACTGACTGACTGAGTGACTGAGTGACGAGCCGAGCCTATTTGATGGGGTTGCACAAGCACACACACCCGTTGGGGATCGTCGTTCGTCGGGTGGAGGTCACTCGCACTGCGGGGCCAAATCTCACTCACCCGTCAGCTTCATGAGCTCGTACTCTTTTCCTGTCCTGAACTTCGACAATCGAGTTATTTCTGTCTGCCCTTCACGCATTTGTTTCTGCATGTCGAGACGTCATGTTCAACATGGGAGGAAGGCCTTCATGAGCAGGAAAAAGGGGGCGGTCAGATGGGAACGATGCCATCTCGTTTCCCAGTTTAGCATCCCAATTTCTTTATTCGTCGCCACCCTCGACATGAGACCTACCCCGTGGTCTTTGACAGTACTGTGGTAAAAATAATAGTCAGCCTAGTGCTGGTGTTGCGTCTGTAGCGGCCCCCAGGGAAGAGCTGTGGTTGTGTGCGTACAGATGTCACATGGCCAAGAGGTTATTATCTGACTGCGTCTGCCATAGTACCTGATTTAAGGCGTCTTATGCTCGGGCGCTCCCTAAATATAGCTCAGGCCTTTTGCTCACACCTCCACTGATGAACAAGCTTCGCTATTCGGAGGAGGGGTGATGGGTTGCCGACATTCCATCTCTCCGGCGGCACAGCAATCGTTCTTCAACATCCCACGGCAGTGGAATCGGCTGGATGCATCCCCTCTCGTCGCACAGGTATGGTTGTCTGCTTACGTTGTGGTGCATACGTCTCCTAGGAGATCTCTATCTCAGTATCCAGTAACCTGTTGTGGCACACTGGATGATACCTCCGTAGGTTTGTTTCAAGATCCGTGATATCCGAGCCAATGTATGGCATTCTCGTTGGCTGTGTAAGTCATTTGGCGATTAGGTTGTAAAGCTGGCGATGTGCTATGCTACATCCTGAGATGCCTTAATAAGTGTTGCTTGTCATCATCGAATGATGAGTCCCATGTCTTCGAGAACATGGATTCATTGGCCAAGACGAGGTTGGACTCCAGCTGCTATAAGCCAGACTTATAGCATGCAATAACCCATCGTGACGTTCGTGAGGGCGTCTTTTCCGAGATTCGCCTTACTTGAGCACGACAGCCCAGCTTCACCTGACTCGAGGACACCCGAAGCCAACCGCACCGCAAAGCAGACGACCAAGAGATCGTTAAGCCTGCTCCACCCATATTGACAACAAACGATGATTATGTGATCAACCCAGCGGTGTATGTTGAGGAAATACTTCCTTCCGCCTCTAAGACCCGATTGCTAATGTCCCGGACGCGTGCTAGCTACTCCGAAGACGGCATAGGCCGGCCGTATCACCGCCACGGCTGCCGGTCCACATCGGCCACCAGCCCGTCGCCAGGCTGCTTAAAGCCAGCCATGTTCGGCGGCTGTGAATGATTCACGCTCATCATCGCTCTGTCCAGTGCTCATCCGCTCATCACATCCTCCCAGAAGCCCAACATGTCGCAGACGGCCACCATCTCGCTCGAAACGCTCACCAGGGAGACGCAGCAGCCCACCGGAGACACGACCCCACGGGACGAACCCGGTGATGCCTTCGAATCCGGCCCGGGCTCTCACCAGGAGTTCTCTCTGCCTCCAGTCGACATCGGGAAGGATGCGTGGCTCTTCTTGGCCGCCTGTTTCGTCATCGAGGCGCTGGTCTGGGGTGAGCATGTCCCTAGTCCCGGCAACTGAAGACGCTCTGGCCGGGTCATGTCGCGATCGATACTGACATCTCAGCAGGCTTCCCATTCTCCTTCGGTATCTTCCAGAAATACTACAGCAGCCATGAGCCCTTTATGGGGTCACACAATATCGCCATCATCGGCACCTGCACCTCAGGTATCATGTACTTGTCTGGCCTGCCCGCTCTCGTCCTGAACCGCATGTACCCCCGGCTGGGCCGCTGGTTGCCCATCGTGGGGCTGCTGATCATGTGCCTGTCGCTGGCGTTGAGCTCCTTCGCCACGACGGTGACACAGCTCATCGCGACCCAGGGCGTCCTGTACGCCGTCGGCGGGTCCATCGGCTACCTGCCCTGCATCTTGTACATGGACGAGTGGTTCGTACGGCGCAAGGGCCTCGCATACGGCATTATGTGGTCCGGCACTGGCCTGGCTGGCGTCGTCCTCCCGCTGCTGCTCGAGTACCTGCTCAACGCCTACGGCTACCAGACCACCCTGCGCGTGTGGGCCTGCGCCCTCTTTGTCCTGACCGCGCCCTTGGCCTACTTCATCAAGCCGCGCCTGCCGCCCTCCCCCGTCACTCATCTCCGCGCGTTCAACCTCCGCTTCGCACTCTCGGGGCCCTTCATGTTTTATCAGCTCGCCAATGTCGTCGAAGCCGTCGGCTTCTTCCTCCCGGGCATCTACCTCCCTTCCTACGCGGCCGACACCCTCAAGGCCGGGCCCTTTCCCTCGGCCCTGACTGCCCTGCTCGTCAACGTGTCGTCTGTGGCAGGTTGCGTGGGCTTGGGCTTCCTCATCGACCGCCTGCATGTCACGACGTGCATACTCGCCTGTACCGTGGGCGCAACAGTGGGCACGTTTCTCCTGTGGGGGTTTGCTGTCAACCTCCCCGTGCTGTACATCTTCTGCATCATGTACGGCCTCTTTGCCGGCTCCTTCACGACGACGTGGACCGGAATCATGCGGGAGGTGTCGATGAGGTACAATGCCAGCGCCGGCCACAGTCGAAGTATCGATCCAAGCATGGTCTTTGTCTTGTTGGCGGCCGGCCGCGGGATCGGCAATGTTGTCTCGGGCCCGCTGAGCGAGGTGCTTGTCAAAGGGCGGCCCTGGCAGGGAGAGGCTGGCGCGGGATACGGAAGTGGTTACGGGGCACTCATTGTCTTTACTGGCGTCTCGGCTCTTCTTGGGGGCGGGTCGTTCTTGGGCAGGGTTGCGGGTCAGCTATGATGTGAAGATGTCTTGATGAAAGGGATGGAATTTGAAAGTCTGATCTCAACGATGAGTGCTATGTCTTGCCGTCTCAGTTCCATGTAGATTAGTTATCAGATGATTTCAACTTGAGCCAACGCAGTAGTCCAGACTGGAGACAACATGACAGCTGCTGGAAATTTCTCTGGTTATGATTCAATATCTAGCATTCATTGCTATCCAGCGGACCTCGAGGCGAATTCCTGCCATGGTTCAGGAGGTAATTCATTGCTGAAATGGTCCATCCCAAACACCGACTCCACGTCCGTGTCCGAGTCCAGGTCTGAATCATCATCATCCAGGCGATCATAGGCTCTTTGCCGTCGCCAGAGCATTTTCCCTCCCATCGACACCAGTATTAGCCCAAGCAGCCCACCGCCCATCAACGCCCACGTGCCCGCAGAGATCCCGGTACTCCTGGGCGGCTCAGTGAACGTCCAGTCAGGCTCCTTGCTATCCGCAAGAATGGTGACGTTCCCATGAACCAAGTCCAAGACCTGGGTAGACCTGAGAACAGTCCCTTTGCTGTCCAGTGCATCGGCCCAGAGGCGCTGCAAGCCCGTCCCATTCGCCGTCAACCTGGTCTCGAAGCCGGTCCGTGGCGACCTCGCGAGCTCGCCGCCCGTCCCGCCGCGCACGACCCACTCGCGCACCTCCGTCGCCCCGTTCCAGCTGACGTAAACGCTGAGGTTGCCCTCAGGGTTCTCCCTGATCGCGAGAGCCGGGTCCCAATGCGGCGTCGCCACCCAATCCATCTTGTACGCCCGGTAGTTGTCGAGTGCGTTCGGGATCTCGTCGCTGTGCCATGGCGAGAACTGCACGTCCATGACCGTCGCGCCCGAGGCGGTGTGCTCCGTGAACGACGGGCAGCGACCCCAGCCTATGAAGACATTCTCGATCGTATCGCTCGCGGTGGGGAGGACCTGGACGCTCCCCTGGCTCTGGGCCTGCAGGTGCGACGGGTGAAGGTACTCACGAAGGAGCTGCACGGTCGGGGGCGAGGAGGTGTCGTCGATGGCGATGTGCAGACCGCGCGAGCAGGTCGCGCGGCACTTCCCGTGGCTGGTAGTCTTGACGTGGTTGTCGAACAGGGTCATCTCGGTCTCATTGCTATGGGGCACAAAGCGGGCGTGGTGTTGCCAGCCCATAGTGAGCACCGGATTGAGAGTTTCGACGCCTTTGGGTGGTGCGAGTTCGGTGAAGTCGTTCCGCTTGCCGCCGAGTGTCCAGATGACGTCGCCGGACGTTCCGTTGATCAGCATGACGGAGCTGGTGTGTCGGATCGAGATGAGGTAGTTGCCTGCGTGAGTCTGAACGGAATGTCAGTGTGCTGCCCTCTTGGATTGAAAACCGTCGTGGCACGGGTCAGCTTCATGGTTGCTGGTGATGCTGTACCTTCTGGACGCTGTTGAGGTGGAAGGCGTCCCAGTCCTTCGCCATTGTCTCGAAGGAATCCAAGGGGCTGATGTGATCGAGAGCCCGCCAGCTGAAGAGCACTTCATTTGTCTCGAGGTCGATCTCCTGAAAGAGTGCGTCCAGAACCGGGAACGCTGCAGGTCCCTGCCAGTCCTTCCAGCCCGCCGTGTCAACGAGAACGTCCTCGACTCCCGTGACTAGCGCCGTCCCATGGCCCGTCAGTGCAAACTCATGCAGGTCGCTGTGCAGAGCTATTCCCTGTGCCGAGACGTTGTATGCCAGGCGGTAGTTAGCATCGAAGACGAGCCCGAAGCCATCCCCAAGACCGTAGCCCTTCTTGCCCGCCCAGAAGGTCAGGTACCGTTTCCCGAAATTCTCCTGGACACGAGTGCCAAAGACATTGGCGTACTTCCGGTCCACAAACACCGTGGTCAGGTCCCTAGCATCGAGGATCAAGGGCGACGACAGCGGCGACGCTGGCTCTCCGTCATGTCGAATGAATATGTGCGATCCCTTGTCGGAGATGGCGCTTTCGTTCCACGTGTTTACTTGCAGCACAGGCGAGTATTCCTCACTGGTGATGAACTTCAGGCTGGGCCGGTGTCCCAGCTCGCCGCTATTGTAAAATTGATAGTCCCTCGAAATGTAGTCCCCGCAACATGGTGCAGTGAGGACGGCAAGCCACAACCAGATGAGCAAGGAAGCCATGGCTGTGACAAGCAACGAGGTGCGAAACTTGGCTCCCCCGGCTGCCCTGCTGCTGGACAAGGAGTGCTGTGTTGATAAGGCATGGCGAACAAATGCATAGTAGAACAAAAGGGTATGATGATGTGGACGTGCGCGTCATCTGGAGACACCCATTTTTTACTCAGGGGGCTCGAATGTTCTGGGGATAGCCAGGAGGTCGACGAGGTCCAGTTGAGACTAGCCTTGGCCGTAGATCGTTACTCATCTCGCTCGACATCTTGGTTTGATGGCCAAGCGGCTCACCGTCGACGGCAATGCGGGCGAGGTGAGATGAGACTTGTTGCGGCTCTCCCCAGGATGGCTGTGTGGGTGGACACCTGCCCCACGGGTGGCTTTGATTTCCTGCACCACTGTCGTGTGCTCTGGAGCCAACGCCGGACTTACGAGCGCTCCGGGCCAGTAGCCTGCCAGATCGTTTCGGTCCGGTGCTTGGCATAGGTGAACCGAGATTTCGTTGCGAATTCTCGAGGTCCACGCCCGTCCTTACGCGTCTGATCCACCCTCGTCGTCTCCTTTCCTGCTGGGCCACGACAGCGTCGGGTAGTGGGCAGATACGGCGGGTTAGGGTTTATGCCGGAGGACGGAGTGAGCTTGGCAGTGTCCACAATCTTTTATGCCGTCTGTCTCTTCTCACAAGTTCATGTTGGCGTCGGGGTCGCCGACTTGCTGCGGTGCCTCAATGTCAAGAGTCGTGGACGGCATCGACATTCAAAACAAGAGGGGAACAGCCGTTCCACAGGGCACCCGTGGACTAGCTTGTGAAAAGACAGAAGGAAAGAGAAGGAAAAAACTGTAGCTAACAGCATTGAGTTCGGTGCAAATTCCGAGCTGCGCAGTGGGAAGGCCGGCAACACGCCGAGAGATGCTGGACCGAAGCCGTGCCCACTTCATCCGCGCAAAACGGAACGGCACCACAACAGCCAAAATGATTGTCCTCGGATACGGGGAATCGAACCCCGAGCTGGTGAGTGAGAGTCACCGATGTTAACCATTACACCATATCCGACTACGGTGTGAGGACCTGTTGATGTTTTCGGCCGTTCCGTGGGGTTTATGAAGCAAATTTGGATGGCCGGGTGGGGCCAACAGCAAATCTCGTAGATAAGCTATCAGGGCCCACAAGGTCAGCCATTGGGGGGTGTTGGATTGGCCAGCCTCGATATGCACATGGGTACCTAGGTGATCTATAACTAACATGCTGTTCTACAGCTCACATTTGCCGTCTTTATGATCGACTAAACAAGATCGGATACATCTGTTATCGGCAGACTAGCAGCCAAGCACTTCTTCAACTGTAGCAGCATGATACGCCACGGTGCGTACGCATCTGCTGCTTTCGTGATGGTCTTCTTGAGTTTGCCTTGGATCAAGGTCGCGGCTCAGTGATGTTCAGAACTTGATCTGTCGAACTTGAATCGATGTGAGTTCGGCCATTTCGAGACAGAAATGTTGCTGCCCGGAATGGGCGGGTGGGTGGCCTTTGTGGAAGAAGCCTGAGAAATTCAATACAATTCCAAATTCGTCTAGGCTTCTGGCTGGAAGCAGATTAGTGGCCAGTTCCCGCAGACTAGTTCAGGATACTATTCACGGCTCGCAATTGTGGCATGCAAAATCAATCAAATGAGGTCGTGTTTCAACTGCAGATATGCCACGCATGCTCCTTGGAGGGCCTAGGTAACCGATGGCAGAGAACCTCTGGCAAGTGTGAGCAGTGATATTATCCTCCAAGGATAGCAAGATACAGCGTCCATAACATCAATAAGATATGGACAAGGAGACAAAGCGCAATGAATTTGCCTATCATGACGAAACGAAAAGAGAGGAGGGCGACTGTAGAAGAAAAGCAGAGTATTGGGAACGGGACTGATTTCTCGGGCAGACAGCAAAGTCTTTGGGGGACACTAGACAACCTTTAGGTAAGAAAATAATACTTCTGGGAGAGCAGATCTTACCAGATGGAGACGCAAGTACCTGCTCCAAAATGTGGATCAGTCCGCTGCAAGAGAATGTATCTGGCTCTAGGCTGATGTGACGGTGAAGCTAGAACAGCGAGGCCAGTGTCAGGAGAACCAGAAATCATCCAGCTTGTACGTGTGCACACAGGCACGCATTGTAGAGCCAAACTAAAACAAATGTGCGGTTCTCAACGCAGTCCCTGGATGCTACCTTGTAGTCAAAGTCACAGACAGACAGATATTGAATTAGGGTAGGATCAAAAACCAAAGCAAACGGACAAAGCTTGTATTATCCGGTGAGGCCGGCGCAAATTGGTGAGTTAGGACCCAGAGACCGCAAGTATGGTCTATTCCGTATGAGCTAGGGAACTAGGTCTCCAAATTCAAAGGATTTTCCAAGGCGTCCTGGGAGTGTTCATCCAGCCTCTAAGCTGCCAATCTAGGCAAGGCTGGTGTGAAAATGTTACAGAATGGTGTTCATGCCCACAGATTTCTAACTGATACTGGTCATTCTCTTCTGGGATTCAAGGTCGTCGTACGCGTGTCACGGGATCTGAGCTCAGGCTTGAACTTTAGTTCATATCAACGCCGTCCATAAGAAACAAGCATCTCAGTATGTGGATGTTCCTGGAACAACTCTGTGCAGGTGCTCCAGAATGTTTGGCTGGGCTGAGCCGCACACCCCACAGCTTGGCGTGTGCTTGTCCATTCGCTATTGATATGCCAAACGTGAGGCTTTCAAAAATGCCCTGGCATGTGTGACTGTTTCCATGAGCCATGATTGTCCTAAGTATCTGTATTTCTCTGTTACCAGGGTTGACCTGTTCGTCAATCTGTGATGTTGATGGTACAGATGATTAGCCAGGCAGCCCGTTGCAGTTTCAAATGGTGCGGCTCCTTGGAACCTCAATGATTTTCTCATGGCAGGCAGAGCCATCGCACGGAGTTAGAACAAGTGTGCACTCATATGTAAGATCCCTAAAAGGTCCTTGCCCCTTGAAGGAACGTCCATCCCGAACAGGGGTAAGCCATAAAACCAACACCGCATTACTCTTTCGGGGATGTATGCTGATTGGTCCCCTCTGCTACTCCAATTCTCAGCCTTGCCTATGCTAGTCGAATCGAGCCCTGCCGTTGGGTCATGCCCCAGACAAGGCTGAATGTAAATGGATGAGTGAAGATGACGCGCCTGGGGCTGCACTGAGGACTTGCAATGGCCTCGAATTGGTCCACATGGACATACCACACTCAATCAGGGCGGTTCCGACATCTGGTAATTCCATTCTATACACGCCAGCCGGTCAGTGACTTCTGCACCGTTGTCGATCCACCTCGCAGTTGAATATCGATTCACCCATCAACTATCGGGGTGCAATAACGTGCGAAAATCAATATCCCACAACACTTCCGTCCGATACTTCCCAATACCTACCTGCGCGGATTCTATACATGAGCCCATGACTCCACTTGATGTCATTCGTGCTACACACCATCCCGTCACACGGAAACATGGACATGTGCCCTGAACCACAAACGTAAAGCATCGCATGTATTCCGCATACTCCATTCATCGACCAGGCATGCCTACTGCAAGCCCCGGGATGCACAGGGTCCAAGCACGCACAGACAATGCAAGGAGGGACGCGATGCTGCCCCCGGTGGCATCATCGCGACGCTGCAGGAACGTTCCACCCGGCAGCCGCTGTCGTGGGCCGGAAGTCAGCCGCCTGTACTTGTACCTGTACCTGCACCTGCAACTTGCGCCTGTGCATGTGCCTGTGTATCACCGCCGGCCCGCACCCAGCTGAGATGGAGACCAGTGCGTCCTCGCCGAGAAGTTGGATTGGATTCCCCGGCTTCCGGGTTATAGGTCAGCTCATATGGATGTCTCAACGCCGAAATGGTTCAAGAGCCACCACCCCCCACAAGACAGGGGGGAAGCAAGGGGCTTCTCCCCGCCGTGGCACGAGAAGGATGCTGTGTACGTAGGCACCCGCCAAATCCCCATGGTCAGGCCACATCAACACGAGACAATCGCCAGATCTGCGGCTCAGGAGAATCAGTCCGTCGTCATGGACACGCAGCCGGGCGAGAGTTGCGTCCGTGTTCGGATGCGGAGCTGTTCGACGTGTGCCGAGGGTGGAGATGGGCGCCGCAAAGCACTGGTAGCACTGCCATCAGGCAGTGTCACGCCTCGGCGCCGCCCTCGTCCATTCCTGGATGGAGCTACACGGCATTGGGCATCAAGCAGCGTCGAAAACAACCTTTGCGACGCCACCGTTTGTGCCCTTCGATCCGGTCGGACAGGGACCCTTACACAGGGACTGCCGTGCGCTGCGGGCGCTGGCGTGCTGCAGGCTGCAAGACCGCAGCTCTCTGCTCAGGCGCGGCCTCGTTGCGCGTTCAAGGTGGTCTGATGCGCTGCTCGCCATTGGAAATAAAAGACACCGCGCAAAGGGATACGACCACGCCGTGCCGCGCAGCTTTGCCCAGGAACAGCTTGGCGGTCGTCACCAGCCGCCGAACCCACATGCCACACAGCCCGCCCGGGCTCTCAGACGTGAAGGGCCCCATAGCGGGCGGCTGCGCTATGGGCGGATCTGCTCCGCAAATCTCCCCGGAGCGGGAAGCAAGGGCCAGGTGAGACACCAGCAGGCAGCTAGGCATTTCCGCGCGAGGCCGGGTCAAAGGTTCTGGTTCGTCGGCTGATTTTGAGCAGCGATTTTCCCTGTCCCCGGGCGGATAAATCCGCTCTGGAAAGGGGCTTGAGCGAGTCTCGGCCCGCGATCTTGTCAGGGGTAGGCTCTGTAGTTTATTTTAACGTCCGGCGTCTTCGTCGCTGGCCTCCTTTTTTCCTCTCTTTCTCTGCGTCGTTCTCCCGATGGTCGTCCCTTGCCCGCAGGCCACGATGATACGTCGCCATCGTCTGCCAGCGTGGCGCCTGCACACTGTACGTGGCAAACCTGCCTGCGTCTGCGTCCTCCCGGCTTGTGTTGACACAGCTTCATGCGCTCCCCGCCGCGGCCTTGCATTCTCCTCGCTTCGCCAGCTGCAGTGAGCCTACTGCCCAGAGGGTCGTGTGACTAGTCACCTCGCGGAGGGAACTCCGGGCAGAATTGTGCCGACCAAGAACGACGTTCCTAACCCAGCTCGAACATGTTTCTCGCCCTGTGGCCTGATACTGAACCCCTCTCTTTCTCTCTTGGTCACTGGTGGGTGAACATGACCTCATATGGCCATAGCTAGCGTAAGTCGTCGCAAATGATGACCTCGCCATGGCGCCCCCGCGCTGGACCGACCAAGCCTTAGACGCCCGTGATCGACGGGGCTTGCTGCACCTTGCCTCTGTCTCCGAGGCCTGCGAGTCCAGGTTGGTCTTCTAAGGACCAGTGCAACCTTTTGATACGGCATGCTCGCCATTGGTGCCTCTCCGTCAGGCCTCTCGGTGAGCTGCCACGGAGAACTAGTCCATTGCGACAGTTGTCCTGCAGATAATTATACTTTCACCTCTGCATTTGCAGCCCTCCTCTTCACCGCAAGAATCCGGACGCGCACGATGTGACAGTAGCCATTCTGGACCATCCAGAGACAAATGGATGCTTGTAAATTCATCTTCCCCTTTCCCACATCGCCGTTTCAAGCCCCGACGGGTCCAATGAAGCCGCCTGTAACACGGCGACTCTGTTTGATAGGGGCGATTTTATAGCGGCAGCCATATGGCGATCCGTCAGGGGATGGCGGCTCAACCGGATTCGTGGGTTTCGTTGATTGCTAGCCGCATCAAGCTATAGTGTTTGCTTTGCAGCATATGTCAGTCAGGATGACGCCGTCTAGACGGTGGAATGGCGTACTTACTTAATGTTGCCATCCGCTCCATGCATGCAGACCGGGTACTGGCCGCTGGCTAGGGTTTCGTTGAGCATGCCCGCAGCAGATATACAGAGCGCTCGAAGGTTTGCCCACTGTGCACATCTGGACTGGGCCGTGCCTCGCTAGAACAGGGGTGTTGATGGCTATGTACTGGAAATGTTCGTGGGTGCTCAGCCGTGGCTGCAAGATGATTATCTGCGGCGGGAGGTGATGCTCTCTCGTGGTACATAGGCATGGCTGGACACCTCGCGGCGTAGAGCACATGCATGTGTTTACCAACTGTCGGTAGTTATCGTTCGAGCATGGTTGTTTCGTGCGTAGGGAGCTTTTGCGACAGTGTCACGTCAGTATTACTTCTTGTTCCTCTTCAGGCACGAGGTCTTGAAACCTACGTGCGCTCGCTCCTCAACGACGAGCCTTTCCGCGACACATGTCTCTCGGCTTCCCGTTTGTGGTGTCTCCCGTGGTCCATTCGCCTCCTGTAAACATGTTGGATCCCAGAGACCAGGCTCAAGTCCGTCCGTGGCTGGACGGTGCTGCGGGAGTTGCTGTCCTAGACCGGGAAGCTGCATCGCGGATGAACACTTGCTGCTCCCGTGTCACTCAATGGGCGAAAGTCGCGACAATAATCTTTCGATTGGCCTGTTCCCGAGGGGAACTGGAATGTTGAATGTACTCGTAGCTCCAAGGCACGTTGGGCCCCTTTGAAATGAGTAGCGGAGTCCAGCCCTGGGAGATCACAGTAGCACGGACCAGTGCGTGACTGGGGCTAAGTTGGGAAGCACATTAGGCCCCGTCACTCATCGCCATAGGTAGGTAGGGAAATTTTCTTGACAGCAAGTTTTCAAGTGTTACTCTACTGTATGGGCCAGAATCATTCTGAATTCAACATACTTTGTATTCTGAAAAAGACTTGACCCTATCTTGGTTTCTTACGATGGCGGTCCACCGTCTTTTCCACAATGTGTACCCCTATCTAATTTCTGCTCCTACAACTAGTACCCAACAATTCGCCCAGATTAAGACGTCGCAAATAGCTGCCATAAACGTAGTGAAAGAAGCGAACCAAATTGTTGCTCTAGGAGGTATCCAACTATGCAGACCACGCAAATGCCTTGTCCTCAGAACAAGAAGCCGTTGGACGATGATAATGATATCCACAATCGTGTCCCGGGACGCCATGACCATCCTTTTCAAGCCTTTTCTATGGACCAGAAAACTTTTTGTGTGACCTGCGATTCCCGTCAAACACACAAATGCGCCATCCTGACGCCATTCCAGGGGCCAAGGGCAAATCAAAGCAGACCAAGTGAACGAACACACGCAAGGTATTAAAACAGACCAAAAAGACCAGTTACTACTGCCATGTACAGCATAGATAAATGACTGAGAAGGTGGGGACCTAAATTGTTGCTTTGGAACGGGTAGGGAGGTGGCTGGGATATCCTGTTCGGGGATGCCAACACTATATCTGTTTGCAGCCCGCGTGCCAAAGCGGTGGGGACAAAGTCACCAAGGCTTCAGTTGGGGTGCTTTCGTAGAGGCACAAAATGTTCGGGCATCGGCTCAATGTGCCACACCTTGTCGGACTGCTTTTCAAAAGCATCGGACCATTCCCGGCTCAGACTCGGGGGGATAGACCAGCCGAGTGTGGAACTCCGCAGACGCATGCGAACCAGATGTCGCTGGGAGGCCCCGTCGTTGACAAAGCCATCACGACGGTGAAGAACGGACAGGTTGTTGATGAAGTGAATGTCACCGGCCTGGGTGGCGAATTGGAACTCAGTGGCGCGAGCGATCGCTTCGATGGCATCCAGGGCTTCAATCTGTTGTGCGTTAAGAGTAGGCAGGCGAGTCTTGCGGGGGTGAGCAGCCGATCCCAGGAGAGGAGCACGGCCAAAATTCATGATAAGCTTGCCACTCTCGTGAAATAGAACAGGGCGGCACTGATATCGGGGGCTGGAAGTGTGCATTGTCAGCTCGCTCCTGGATAGCAGAGCATTCACACACCAGAGACTCACAGCGCGAACGGCCAGTCACCCCGCGAGAGGACTCGGACAAGGTCAGGGCGGGTGGCAGCCAGGACGTTGTAGACGGTTGCGGCGGATGCAATCACGCACTTGCCACCGGCAGCGGCAGCTCCTCGAGTGAGCCAGGAAACAATGTCTCCGGCCTCTTCGTTGTGAAAGGTCTGGCATGCAAGAGTCAGTCAATCAACAATTTGAGGGTCACACGCAAAGGGTTCAGGCTTACAATAGGATCTGTAGAGTGGCGATGGTGCTTGTCGTTGGCCTTGGTGGCAACAATATGGACTAATCATAAATCAGAAACCACCCGTGTACTGGTATGCAGGGCAGGGGGGGGGGGAGCCAACTTACCCAGCATATTGCCAAGCTTGTCCTGGCAACCTCGCTTGTCGGCAACGTATGAGGAGACGCCCATATAGGCGATGGTGAGGTCCTCGACACTGTAGTCTCCAGGGTTTATTCCACGTATGACAGAGAACCCGCGGCCGTTGTGGACGTCCAGACTGAGCTCCACAAGCTTCGGGCCAAGCGTGGGTAATCGAAACGTATTTACATTGATCTGGGACCCATCGAGCCCAAGTTCTGCAAGTGAAAGCGATCAACACCAAGTTTGGCCGAGCCGGTGTGATTTGCGAGCTGGGATGGTATGCGAGACCAAGTCAAGGGGGTGGCACGTACCCTTGAAGGCAATAACAGCCTTGTAGATCTCAGCAAGATCGGCCTTGGTGAGATGATAGACGTAGTCCCCGTCAGAGATCCTGGCTCCAATCCAGACACTCTCGCCATCGACGCTGGCGGGAAAGCCCGTGGGGAGAGCGTTCAGACCTGTGGTGGCGTTGCCCGGAACGCTGGCCAGGGGGGTGGATGTCATGGACTGGGCCTTGACAGAAGACATGGTGACTACTTATAGCTGTTTAAAACGTCAGAGTTACCTTTCACATGGTCTGCTCGTGATCTAGAAAGGCCAGCTTGCCTTTATGAACGTGTTTGGAGTGGGAAAGGGGCTGGGGATCGGACAGTCAGTCTGTCTGTCTGTCTGTCTGTCTGTCTGTCGTCAGGAGTGACCCGTGGAGAGGTGATGTGCCAAGCAGGATGCCCGCTCTCAAAGGGACAGTCAGGACGTGGATGGGATCGGAGTTATCTATGAAGGGAATCGTCGGGTGGTGTTGTGTTGCCACCGAGCTAAGATGTGTTTCGAGACCTGATGGAGTTTTTGTGGTTGCGAGAGTCAAGGTAGAGAGGTAAACACAGATGTTGTGACCGTGTGGAGCGCAGAGACAGGACGAGATGTTGGGGACGGGACGTGAAGAAATAAATACTTGGATGCGAGCAACGCTGCAACAAGCGGAGGAACGGAAAAAGCAGCCTTAAAGAAAAGGGCGGACGAGGAACTACTCCTTTGAAGTGCTTCAACTGACGACACCTTGTGGGAGGATGGCAGCAATGCACGCCGGAGGTGACCCGGAGAGGAAAAGCATTTCAGAGCGTTCTTCGAGGACGGACCAGGGCAGCGCTAAAAGCGCAGTCTTCCTGCTATGCATCAAGCTCTGAGGAGCTCATGCGCATTGGGTCCGGCTTCAGAGAAGGAAACAGGAAGAGGGACACGGCAGCTGCAGGCAGGTACCCTTTTGTGAGATTGGGAAGACTTCATTGTATTGAGGACGGTGGCAGCCAGCTGTAGCAGTACGGACTGCACAGTGTTGTCGAAATGATATCCACCATTTGGGGACTTGCATATATGCATGTAGCAGGACCAAGACCCAATTCAACAGCAGTCCCATGAGGTGACGTTGAATTGAGGCTGTCAATCAGCTTCAGTGCAGCCATGGGCTGCCGGAAAGCACCTCTCGGCTTTCTTGAATCGGTATAGGGAGGGGCAGTTCGTCCCGAGGCTGTTACTCGTTGGGCGTCACAGGCAACACCAAGGCCCGTCGGATTGCCCAGGTACAAGAACATCTGGGAACCTTGGGAAACTTGTGATCCCCACATCCGAGACTAACAAAGGACATCTGCCAAGGGAGACAAATCCAAGCCCAGACGGGCTTGGAATCCTGACCAGGGGTTGGGGGAGGAGGGGAGGGGGGTGACTTAGAGCCGTTGATAATGAACATTGATTTGAGATTCGGGGACTGACGGGAGGGCAGTATCAAACTATTACTTACCGCCATGGCGAATGAGGTTCACATCTAACTAAGGAGGGATTGTCTTGGTTCTGCAAGTGGTGTCTGAGGGGCATCGATCCGTGCAAGTAATGCCAGTTCATCAGGGTCAAAAGAAAGGGCTAATACGAGAAAGGGTGTGTGTAGAGAAACAAGTTGGGCGTGCAAAGATCAGACCGGGGCAGAGGTATCTAGCAACTCGGGCGCCCTTGAGGGAGCCGATTCAAGCTCTGGGAGAGATAGGCTTCGTCCGTTTTGGGCCAGCCCTGGGGAGAAACGAGCGAGGACGGCAGTGAAACCGATGCTGCGCTGCATAGCCACTTGGCGTTTTCCCATGCAATCGCATGATGAACTCTGAAGACTGGAGAGCAGCCCGGGGCCACTCACAGCAAGGTAGCATCGACGTACGGCTAGGGAAGGTCCCACAGAGAATTTTTCTAGTAAAATATAAGGAGACGGGAACTTCGGCCAGGGTTCCTGTGGCACCCAACGAGTGGTCGGGTTCCATCCATCAGGGAGGAGCCCAGAGATTCAGGAGGAGTCGATGGCGGGAATGGCCGCGGGAGGGAGCAGGGAATAAGATTGGAAGCCCTGGACACTTACAGTGCAAGGGGGGGGCTGCTGAAGAAAACTCTGATGTCGTCTCTGCATCGTAAACTGTGGGGAGCGCATGTTGATATCCATACACATATGCGACCGCACCCGGCGACACGGCTAGGGTAGTGACCCCCCTTCGGACAAGCGAATCCCGTGCAGTTAGTATTATGTTGTGCATAGCTCTCCGGCCTGGCTTTCGTGGCGCTGTGAAACCTCGGGCGCATGTCTTGACGGCAACGCGGGAGCGTGGAGATGCTCACAATTGATCGATCTGCCTGCCCGTAACCGTGATGGTCGGATTGCCGTGGTCGTGTACAACAAACACGCGTCGCATAATATCGAGTGGGCGGGCGTGTAGAATTTCACTGATGTCAATGGCAGCCAATGACGGGTCTTGGCAGAGATAGGCAACCCCTACTCGTCCTCGTCCCTCGTGCTTGTGCTCCTCCACCTCTCAAAAGCCCCTCGTCCGTAGATGCAAGGGAACCGAGGCAGCTGAGAGCCGCCCGGGGACTCTTGCCAGGGTGAAGAAGCAACAAACACTTGTCACCGGCTGTGGGCTGTCGGTCTAGGGGCTGTCGGTCGGTGGCTTGCAGGCGAGCAAACACCCGTGGCATGTCGCACGGGTGTGTAATAAGTAATATGGCTCAATGATGCCCTTGTACCTCGGTAGGAATGTCGCCTTCGTGGGTGTCACTGTATTGTGGAAGATGAGCTGACGGGGAGGGAGAGAGAGAGAGAGAGAGAGAGGGTGAGAAAGAGACTGAGAAACAAAAGGAGACTCTGGGGCCGCACGTACACCGCCTGGTAGAGTCTTGGTGAGTCTCGGAAACCCTGGGGTGGAACAATCTGGGGACGCATTTTGACAGCGTTCTTGTGTGACCCCGATTGACCATTGATTCCATCAACTCCTCGCCACCTGGTGATTGGTCAGGTGTCGAGACGCTCAACCCGTCGCACCAGTCTATGATCAGTCGACTTGGCTCAGGCCAGGCCAGGAGAGGTCAGGCCAGGTCAGACCAACTGGCAAAAGCAAGCTCAAGTCGGGTGGTCAAGAACAGCATTCCAGGCAGGAAGTCGATGCGTGGGCAGATGGGCAAGACACAAAAAGGCGTCTGCAAAGGCGGGTCGGCAAATGCATGAATGGTTGATTTGTTTGTTTGCTCGTGGGTGTGAAGAATGGCCCCGACCGAAGCGAAACCTTGCCCGTTGCACTATGTTCCTTTCAGGGCTGTCAGGGTACTTGCTTTTTTCCAGCAGACCATACTACGCCTGCCTCCCCCTGCGCCGCCGCGCCTCCCCCCCCCCTTCCTCAGGCCCTAAGGCAAGCTCAACGGGTGGGGAAGCCGACCTTTTTGCTGTTCAAGAGGCGCACACCCCATTTTCGGACATTTCAGCCGGAGCTTGCAGACAAGAAGCATCTCCAGCCTGCCAGCCTGCCAACTCCATCCGACGACGCCTTACGATTTGCCACCAAAGCTGTGATTGCGATCCTGGACGTGCTGGATGACATGGACTCAGATTGTTCGAATTTGAGCTCCGCCTCTGGCTTTTCCCCCTTGTTCAAACTACCTGAGGTCTTCCACTACTCCCGCCTGTCTCTCTCTCTCTCTGTGTGTGCGTGTGTGTGTGTGTGTGTGTCCAGAAAATGACAAACAGAAAAACTGATTATAAAAATAGGGACAAGACGGCTCCATACTACATGCGAATAGGTTCAATAGACCCTTCCTTGGGCGTGCTCCTGAAGTGGCCAAAATAGCACCGGCTGAACCCAACCAGCAAATCCTTGGACCGAGAAAGCAAATACAATGCACCCCCTTGTGGCCACTCCTCAGAGAGTCTTGTACACCCATCTCTCAATATGCGTGCCGGCCCCGCTTCCAGATAAGAATTCCGCACGCTTGTGATGAGGTTTCCGGGCGCCGGTGGTATCGAAACATGAAACGGCATCAAGACTACCACAGTATACGCAGTCCACAAAACCAGAAAGAAAGCACACAGAAGCACTTCGCACACAAGCTAGTCCATCCTCTATCCCCTCCAATCACGCGCGGTCACGCCGATGCCTTTGGGGTATCGACGACTGGAGAGAAGACACCTTTTTTTGCTTTGTGAGAGCGAGGCGTGCGACCGGTGTGGATCGTTGACGTTGCTGGTTGGTGGGGGTGTTCGTGCGTGTCCTATGCGGCAGCTAGGGTAGGCTGCAAGGTGCAGCCATAGGCCCACACCGGACAGCTCTTGCCCTTCACCCGGTAGGCGAGAAGGGACAGGGTTCCGATGGGCATCCATGGAGTCCCTCCTCCGTGGCGAGCTCCTCATGCATGCCTGCTGATGCTGCAGAACGGGTGGCCCACATCGCTTACGAAACTCAATTCTCCGACTGAACTGTGTCGTGCTGTAGAAAGAGCAAATCGACGACCTCCGCCCTCCCCCATCCCCCCACCTAGTCGACTATCGTGTTCTGGGGCGTCCAGTTCTGCTCGAACAGCTGTCTGATGAAGTAGTAGTCGTTGCCGTAGTCCTTGGCCTCATGCAGATCGTCCCACTGATCCTCTGTTCGCAGTATGCGGTCAGCACCTTGATTTCACCACCCGGGCCTTTGCAACTGCCATCCTCCGCGTGCGTGTGCGCGTGAGTGTGTATCGACTTACTGTGCTCCTTGGCGTAATTCCTGGTGTATTTAATAAAATTGATCGACTCTTCATCCAGCTCAGCCAGATTCTGCAGGTCAGAATCCTTGCATTCTGTGGAGAATGGGTACACGCCTTTGTTGCAATAATGATAGTAGGCTAAAAAGATGCTCGCGCCTGTCATAGAACGTTAGTATAAAGCACCGACAAGAGTTTTGTGTTCCCTGGCATCGAAGATGCACCAAATTCGGAGGGACAGCAACCGGGCTTACCCAAGTGATACTGCTCGACCATATCCTTCCTGGCAAAATTGCTCTGTTCGCCCCTGTGGTCAGCCATCCTGATTCTAATTGCGTGCTCACGAAGGCTACTTACTTTAAGGCCATGCTTCTTGGCATAGCTGCGGTCGTGAGCCGTGATAAGGGCCACGTTGTGTAGTAGGATGAACGTGACCAGGTACGTCGTCAGCCAAGTCTTCTGCTTCTTCGCCTGCGTCATGGTCTGCAACAACTCCAACGTCTCCCTTCGAAGCTTGGGCAGCGTCTGGTTGAGGAGGATGAAATCCAGCTGCGCTCCCATGACGGGTGGGATGGGAATGTTCCCTTTGAGTGGTCGGATTCCGAGCGTCTCTTGCCCGATGATCTGGAACGATTTCGTCGTCAGGCGGACAGCTGCCCATAGATCGAGAGTTTTGGAGATAAGGTCTTTCTCTTCCTCTGGCGTCCCCGGCCTCTTAAGTCGCCGGATAGCGTGCTCATATGTCCGCCACAGCAGCTTCTCCTTTGGCCCAAGCAGCGCCTTCAACATCCCATTCAGCCCTGACTTCAGATAGTTGTCGTATTGCGTCCTCGCCCCTTCAAGGTCAACCAGCGCGTACGGCTCTATGTACCAGCGCTGCTCCTTGCCGTTTTCGTACCAGGTGCGGTGTAACCTATCGCCATTCTGCTGGACAAACCGACGAACCCGCAACTGAACACCGTCCGCGTAACCCTCAGTCAGCGTGATGATCTTCACATCGGGAGAGTCCCACTGGCAGATGTCAGGCGCCATCGTGGTGTCTTTCCACCGTCTCGTCCACTCGAGTCCCTTGACCTGGCCCGGCTTGAAGAGCTTGACCTCGGTTATTTTCCACCGTTTGCACGGTAGCCGGTGGATTTTGGAATTGGCGCCAATTTTCCTGCAACCGTCGCACGGCGCGTCGTGGTCGTCAGGGGCGTCAGTGTTGGCCTCGCACTATGTTCAAGGGTCAGTACTTCCTAACGCGTCATCTTGTCATGCATTTCCACCTACCCTGATGCGCTGCATTCGACACCGTATACAACTGCCGATTTTCCTTACATGCGCAGTTTGTTTCCGCTTCTCTTGGTTCCTGAAAGGTCCCCGCTTCGTAATTGGAGGCTTATGATTCGGCATGACCACCTCTAACCCATTGCCTTGTTGAGCTAGCTGGAAGCGGTCCATTTGCTCAGCGTTGAGCCCGTCATGGGGGGTGTAGCCATGTAGAAAGGAATAGTGCGGCGGCGGGGCCTGGTAGCCCACCACGCCTTGGCGGGCGTAGTTTTCCTCTGGCCTGGTGATGCCAGAATGCGTATAAGGTGTCTCTGCCACTGTACGTAGTGGCGCTGCGTTGCTCTGGAACCCGGGCACGGGAAATCCAGGGTCTGCACCTTCTGATTTGACGAAGGTCGGACTTGCTTCTGATTTGAGAAACCCATGGTTCGTCTCCTGGGCTGCGTAAACCATGGTGTCCGGACTGGTGGTAGGCTGGTTGCTGCTTAAGTGACTTGTTGGCTGAAGAGGAGGATAGCCCTGCAGGTGGGCCGAATGATTTGACTCTTCGGCACCAAACATCAACGGATGTTGAGGGCCGTGGCTTGACGTCAAGGGATGCTCGGGGATTTGGTTGTGCACTGGGGACAACAAATCCGCCGAGTACGCTCGTGGTACCACACCATCATAGGAGGTTGTAGAAGGAATAGCATGATACCCTATGAACCGTTTATGAGTCTTTGCGGATCGACAATGGGACATCTTCCTTACCTGTTGTGGCGGCATCGAAACCCGGGAACGTCGGGCGTGTGTCAACAATTCCCAGACATTTTCGAAGGGAAGCAGTGACGCCTATACAAGACGCTTGGCCGTCATCTTGACCGTCAGACCCACCACCGGAGACTGGCGACTTCTCATCGTCGACCTGGCTAGGAAGGCACCTCGAGAACAAGGAAGATATCGGCATGTTCGTTGAGTCAACCCGCTGTCGTTTCCGGGGATATTGTTGGTGATCTGATTCAAAATATTGTTGGTTCTGCTCCTGGAAAGGCTGCTGATGACCGTGGCCTTGTTGGGTATACTGCTGGTTGAAATCTGGCAGACCTCCGTAGGAGTAACGAAGGAAGTCTGAGTTGTTGATGGCTGTGTTTGGTTGTTCTGGGATATAGAACTGATGTGGGAAGGAATATGTGACTGGTCCTTCAAACGAAGTAACAAAGGGCGGGTCTTGTATGACTTGGTCTGATGGATCATCAAGGTAGCCGCGAACGCGGCGTTGGGTGAGGTGGCCGCTCTATATAACATCAACTGGCTGCACCATCAAGACCGAGAGACGGGAGGGTGGGGATGAGAGAGGGAGGGTGCACTATTGAATGAGGGAGAGGTGACACAACCAGGAGACGTGCTGAGCTGGCACAGGACTCGAGGCGACCAACAGACCGAGGAAAGAAATAAGGTGAGAATGTGCTTGTGTTTGCAGCAGCAGGCCGGGACAGACGTCGATGAGGACGGTCAGGGACGAAGAGAGACCGATGATATATCCAATGCAGTCTGCCGCAAACCGGGGAACAGGGACTGGAGGAACTTACCATGACTGCTGCAGAGAGGGTGTGTTGGGAAAATGCCCACACACAGTAAACGTATGAGTACTTCGGTCAGAGGTACCAGGCGCACGAAGCAAGGAACCTGAGCCCGGTGAGTGAGCCAAGCAGCAATGCTAGTTGTTTGAGGCGTTGGTCGTAATGCCAGAGCCAGGAGCCGCAAGTACGGGCGCAGGATCAACACAAAATCGACACAGACAAGGAGAGGGAAGGAAAAAGCCGCCTGATTTGAGATACCGGGGTGGAGAAGGGGTGCAATTAGGTGTCGACGCAGCTGGGGTTCCTCACAGGAAGACCATCACCACGGTAGCAGAGCACCCTTGGCAGGACAGTGTGGACCACTGCAGCAACGAAGAGCAACAATGCAGCAAAGAGGAAGAAAAAAAAGGTGGTGACAGGGTAGTGGGGTGGCTGTATCGAGATGGAGGTGCAGGGGGGAGGGGTGACTGATGCAGGACGGTAAGGTACAGAGGAGTACAAGCTACCTCGCTAAGTCTGCTGCGAACCGTCGTCCACTCGAATGGCTCCTCCAAGGTACTGTTCCCGGCTCTTGTTCTCCTGATGCTCCTGACCGAGTCTGACAAGTGCAAGACGGTGAGCGCTGGCCTAGGGGGCAGCGAGAGCGGCCAAGGATGAGAGGCGGTAGCTAGACCGTAGTGCAAGGTCGGGAGATTCAAACCCACAGTAACAAGAGGTTGGGGTTAGATGAGCCTCCGATGCCTCGATCCGCAGTTCAGCCTCAGATTAGCAAGGACACCTCACCTCGTTCGAACAGACTCTCTCGTTCGTGAGCGTGTGTTAATCTGCACGTATGCCCCTTTGGAGTCGACGGTGTTGCAGTGAACGACCGACTCACAAAGCGCCGCAGCCGCTGAGGTGGCACAGAACCGCCTGAGGGGAAGAGAGAGGTAGTAGCTAGGTTGGCGCCTAGGGTCAAGCTTGGACTCGCAGGTGTTGCTCGAGCATGGGGCTCTTCTGGCCTGTAGTCAAGCGGGCGTATGACGCGGTGTTCCGTGGTTTGTCGTTACGCGCACCCAGCCGGTCAAGCCCACAACCACAACAATGCATGTGCAAGAGTTGCCTCTGATGTGGGGACACGAGGAGACCAGAGCGGGTCAGGAGCGCCTGCAATTGGGAGCCGATCCTTACGACCGGTAAAGAAGCGCCGGACGAGCGCCGCTGTCTTTGATTGCGACGTCAGCGAGAGGATTCCAGGAATGACTAACGCCTTGTGTAGCTCAAGCAGAGGAAAAAGCAAAGGGCACAGAGCAGGAAAGGGGGAAAAAAGCATAAATCAGAGGGATAGGACTCGGTGAGAATGGCCCGGTGGGGAAGCGGGCAGTTGTGGGCGGCGTGCATTGGTGCGCGCCCAAGCGCATTTCGGCAGAGGAGCTCTGCCTGCAAAGCCTCAACCCTCTCACCGGTGGCTGTTGCTGTTGCTGCCGGTGCCATATGTTGCTAAAAGCTGCCATACGCCTTGACGATCTAGCTAAAAGGATCTAGGTAGGAAAGAGGGGTAGTTACAAGTTGAAGACCGTCCGAACCTGGCACTGAAGTGATGGCCGTTGGGGACGAGCCGCCTCGGCCTGGTGCCTCACGAGAGCTTGAACAGGCAAGAGGAAGACTGCAGTTGCAGGGTTGGAGAACTAAGACAGAGCTGCGAGGTCGAGGCGCGGGTCCAAGATCCCAGCGCGGGTGGCGATGCGGGCGGGACAAGGAACAGATAGAAAGGCTCAACGTCGTTTCGTGCGATCCGGTCCTGGTCCTGATCGGACTCGGCTCGTTCCGTCCACAGAAAGAGGGACAGCTCGCACAGAGAGAGCTGTTTGTTGGCCGGTTCCGTCAGTGTCGGGCTAGCTGGCGCTCTGTCTCTCTGTGTCCTGTCGGGCTGCTCGGCAAAACGGCGGGCAGTCAGTCAGCGGCCGGTCGGTCGGTCGGTGAGAGATTGGGCTCAAGAGCAGTCAAGAAGCTGCGCAACAGTGCAAGTGATATGACAGAAGCCGAGGGCGTGGAAAGGAAGCGCTGCGGATGAGTGAGCGGGGGTGGTGGTTTATCGAGAGCGACGGTCGCCGTCCACTTGTCGCGACGGGCTTGCGGCTGAACTGCGACACAGCTGCGACAGTGCCAACTCACAGCTTGCCGTTGTGCTTCTTTTCCTGCAGTCTGCAGTCTGCAGCAGGCGGGCAGGGAGAGAGCGGGCGAGCGAGCCCCAACGCAACACGCACGCGATCGGCAGGGCAAGGGCAGGCCAGGCCAGGCGCAGGAAAGCAATGATGGGCGGATTCGTGACCGAAGCTGACGATGCGGATCAGAGAAGGGCGACCGATGGAGAGCTGGACTTCCAAAGAAGGTTGGTGGTCGAGACGACAGGCAGAGGGCAATTGACGCAGGTCGCCTAGAGTGTGAACGGGGATATTAAGGCGAGAAGTAGGTAGGTAGGTGAGTAGGTAGGTAGGTAGTTAGGTAGGGCGGGCAGGTGGGCAGACAGACGAGCGGGCAGGCAGCGCCAGCACGACGGCCTCGCAATATAGATCGCAGAGTGAGGCAGGTAGCAGAATGGGCGTCCTGCTTCTGGGGTACCGAAGCAAACAGCCAACCTCGAAGCAGCAGCAGCAGCAGCAGCAGCAGCAGCAGCAGCAATGATGGTGGTGGCTGTCTTGGTGGTGGTGGTGGTGGTGGTGGTGGTGGTGGCAGTAAGCAGGCCGAGCTTAGGCCTGAGTGGTCGATCACTCAGTCGCTCGCTTAATCACGCTGTCTGCAGTATTGTTCTTTTGTGCCGTGATAGCTGAGGTGTGCTGTGCTGTGCTGTGCTTTGCTGCGCTGTGTTGTGCAGGACAGAGCGTAGAGGGGGATACGAGCAGCTGTCATGTTCATGCTGGAGGAGGTGGACGAGATAGGCAAGCTTCGTCCTGATGGCTGTTGGTGGCATGCGCTCGGCTCCCGTTGCGGGAAGGGGAACCGTTCCAACGGTGTCGGGTTCGGGAGGCCCAGCTCAACCTGACAGCTGGATTGGCCTGGACTGGACTGGTGTGGACTAGGTTTAGATTGACTCGACTGGACAACAGGCCTGCTGAATGGAGCCATGTTCCCTGCGCAGCACATGGCTGGAACGATAGGAGACGGTCCAAGGGAAAGGGTGTGCGCATGGGCCCGCTAACCTCTATTGTGTGGTCTAGGTCTAGGTGCTGCCAATCTCCTTGGTTCCTTGATCCCGGGTCAGCTCGTGGTCTGACTCGACTCCACCACCTCCTCCCCATCCATCGCATTGCATCGCAGCGCAGCGCAGCGCAGCGCATCGCATGCCATCGAGCCACCATGTCCAAACCTCCTCACCAACGCTCTGAACTTGGCCCCATCGCACCAAGCCAGAAGTACGTACGGTTGCAGGCGTAGGCGCAGGCACAGGCACAGGCAGAGAGGCAAAGACAGAGGCACAGGTGCACGTATTTGGAGGTGCAGCTGCGGTATGCTCGGTCCACCTCGTCAACCTCTTCTACCACTCCCGACAGCACACACCCGTCCCGTTCCATCTGCTCCATCTGCTACCTCTCGACAAGGTATTTCAATCACTCGTCCAGCTTCAATGATCGGCCCGCGGTTCCATCTCTGTCTCCGATGCAGTCAATCAACAGTACAGCCACCTCCAGTAATCTACACCCCAGCCGGCTAAGTGCAGGGGCCCTGGGCTGGAGTCCAACACACCATGGCCCTCCCCCTTGGGTTTGGGTGACACGGGTAGCCACCCTTGGCTGCTCGAGTTTCGAGTCTCATGCGCGAAGAGGGTTGCAACCAGCACGTGTGCTCGCCTCTCAGCACCTGTCCGCATGCACTACGGCACTGCGACTCACTACTGTATGCCATGGGGTGGGGTGGCTCGAGGGCAATCACTTCAAGCTGTTGAATACCATCACTTCGGCCGTCTGGAAAAGACGACGCATCTCCATCCACTTGGTCGTCCTCGCTGGGCAATGCAATGGTCGCTGAGAAGGGGGATGGATGACTCCTGGCCTCGCCTCTTCTGCCAGACTCGCCCCCAGGCTCAGTGGCAATCCCTGGTCACTTTCATCCTCTCAGAGCCATCAGCCGAACTTGGCGCCGCAATAATTGCCCAAATGATCAATCTTACTCTGCATGAGAGACTTCTTGCAGACCGCCATGCGTCCATCCATAGCTGGACGACACCACAGACGCTGCAAGCCAAAGCCTTGCGCACTCAATAGCCTGTTCGCCTGGCAGGCCTCGTCGGGGTCGCTGCGCTTGGTCGGCCTCTCCAATCACTTTCATGCGTGGCTCTGTCATGCCTGTCTTCCACTCACCACGGGCAATGCGGCAATGTGGTTCTGGTTGACGCTGAGCTGATGCAGGTGCTCTCCACCATACCGCCTGCAGGCAATCAGCGCCATTCTACGTGGCCGCCCCGCGCCCTGCTTACTCTGGTCATGGGAACTGCAATCCTCTCAACAATATCAGGATCGTCCACTCCCGAGATCAATGATTGGCAGGCGCCCAACCCAGCAACTGGGTTATTCCAACGTTCCACCACATGTGCGACGCACTTGCTGAGCAAATGACCAACGTGCCTCTTCGCGAACCTCAAGCTTACCAACCCCGTCATCTTGTTGGGTTGGGTCAACAGCTGGCGACGTGTGATAACGACCGCCCTGTTCAGACTCGTGACATGCGAAATCTTTTGGTATTTGCGGCCTACCCACGTCCGGTTCATCTTATCCCGCTGCCAGCAGCGCAGCCGGCGACTCGAGCCCTAGGCTACAGGCTGCGGTGCGTGACCGACCGTGTGGAAGCAACCAAGGTGTCCACACATCCCTGTGACATCGGCTTACCTGCTGGATCGCACGCCCACTGTTTCCAACACACCGGGACCGATCTCGCTTGGGTGTAAGACGCCACTTCTGCTGTTTACGGAAGGCACTGTTGCAAATCGCGCAAATCAGCACAGAGCATTGACTGGACGGCCAGGAGCTTGACCGCAT